GGGGGCTGTTACTTCAGGGGTATCTCATGAATTATGTCCTTTGTTTATTGAAACGTAGTGATAGGGGCCCTGAGGATCCCCACGTCACAGAGGGAGAAGATGTGTCCAGAGAGGTGTGAATGTACATAGTTTTGTATTTGCCGGACATTTGAGTCCCTTCCAAGTGTTCTTCTGTGAACAACAGCGCCACCTCTGGCTTTTCCCGTCCTGTTCCTAACCTGTCTTGGTTCTGAGGAGACAAGTGCCTTGGTTCTGCAGCCCCAGCTGGTGATGTGTCTGTCCCTCTACTGCTGTATTTTTTGTTCATTTGATTCATGATCCAGTAAAGGTTCATGCATTGCAGTGTCTGGAGTTGCTGTCTCTTATGCATCTTTTAAACTATAGGAGTCTGTCTCTGGGGCTGATCAAGTTGACGTGGGAACTCAATAAAAAATGTAAATTCTCAGCTGTCCCCGACCTGTCAGAGTGGAAACTTTGGGGGTTGGGCCAGCAACTTGTTTAACTTTCTTGGTGATTCTGATACAGGAGTCTGAGACTCTTTGCTCTATAGTTTCCCCCTCCTTTCCTGTACATTTTCCTCATAATTCACTTTTTGGAGAAACCTGGCACTTGGCCTGTAGTGGTCTGGGCTTTGTCAGCTGATCCCCAGGTTCTGATGAACAAGTTCCTCTTTCCTCCTGGCTGAGAACGTTGGGAAGACTCTCTTCCCGCTAACCGAGGGGGCTGACTTTTGGAGGATACTGCAGAGTCAGGGTGCCGTCTGGGCACAGTATGGGGGCTGGACCAAGCACAGCTATTCTAGGCTCTGTGAAAAGGTTTGGTATGGCCGGGAATGGGGAGCAAAGGAAGGAGGAGAGGCCATGGAGGAAGGAGGGTAGACTTCTAAGGGCTTGGTGCTGGCGGTGTGCTAGACTTCCATCTTGTGGGATATGGGGATCGAAGACCCTGACAGTGGTGGAGTTCTATGGGCAGAGAACTCAGTGTGACCAGACGGCTCTGTCTATAGGGGAGCATGACTTTGAGAGGGGAGACTTGGAGCAGGGAATCTGAGAGATGCTGAGTGAGAGCCCTGGTAAGTGTTAGCAGGATCTGGATCAAGGCTGCAGCGGTGAGGTTGCAGAGGAGGAAGTGAATGTGAGAGATGCTGAGAGCCTCTCACAGGAATGGCTCAGCTTGGGAATGCAGTGAGACGGGAGGCGGGGGTCTAGGAAACCTATCTGGGAACCATGGTGGTTCCATTGACCAAAAGGAACGTCTGAAGAGAGAGGTAGTTCTGGGTGCTTTGAGAGCTGATTCCGCATTGTTGGAGGTAACTCAATACACGTATTACTAATATTATGACTTGGGGAGGGGGGGTCAATGCCTCAAGTTGGGTAAGACTTCTGTAGCCTTCCAAATCTCTGGATAGTAACTGAGTCCACTTATGGACATACATATCAACATCCATCTGTCTGTCTACCCATCCATCCACTCATCCATCTATCCATCTAACTATCCATCCTTTTATGCCTCCATATATCCATCCATCCACCCAACTATTCACCTATCTAGCTATCCACCCACCCATCTCTCCATCCGTCCGTCCGTCCATCCATCCTTTTATCCATCCATCCATCCACCCACCCATCTATCCATTCTTTTATCCATCCATCCATCCATCCATCCATCCATCCATCCATCCATCCATCCATCATTTTATCCATCCACGTATCCACCTACTTAACATTTATTGAATGCCTGTGACATGTAAGGAGCTAAGGAATCAGAGATGAATTGAAACATGGCCTTGCTCAGATGAGCCTAAGGTCTGTGGAACTGAAGCCAGGTGGATGGAAGTATTTTAATCACCATGTAGGGGGTAATCTGATAGGGCCCCTCCAAATGCTAGGTTCCAGGGCTCAGGGCTGTGAGGTTGCTGGATGTAATTCATGAAAGTTAATAGGAAGAGCCCTTGGTCTAAACCATTTCCTCACCTCCCCCAGTGGTGGCCTGGATACATACATGCATGTGAACCATCCCGCTCATGGTCTGGGGTCACAGGGACTTGGGGGGCTCACTATCATTGGGGAAATCCAGTTGCTCCAATTCCCTCTCATTGGGGCACCTTATCTCCTAAGCCATCCCTAGGGGTAGGTCACTGGAGGAGGGTGGTACCCAGTGCTAGGATGTGCCTGGTGCAGCCCGTGTCTCTCAGCTGTGCCTGGTGTTGAGGTTCTGCACTGTAAATACTCATTTCCATAATTATTATTTAGCATTTGGAGAGCAGCTATTTTACACTCAGTGTTCTTTGTAGCCAGGAGGGTCTCCCAGTTCATGCCAATAAAATTTCCATTTACTCTGGACATCAACCATGGTGATTAAAAAAAAAACCCATAAATTATTTACTGAAATGGAGTTTCAACTTACAGTAATAATGCATTAGTTCAGCTAGCCATGAAGCCTGTTATAGGGTAATAAAATTTTTTTATTTTCCTTCCTCAAAGATTTTTGCCCGTCACCTACCCATGACCTTGAGCTGATCAATTTTCAGAGATGACAGTGCAGGGAAGGCATATAAGGAGAGAGAGAAAGGGAGAGCTTTTTTTTTCAAATAGCCTGGTTTTAGGCAATTGTCAGCAAATACCTGTTATCACACAGCTAGGAGGGAAAAGAAATGAAGATATATACCGCATTTTGTAAATTGTAAGGACTAGACCTTAAAAATCCTCTTGAAATTGATATTCATTTGATAGATACATGAATCTGAAAGCTAGAAAGAAGCCTATTTGGAAAAGCTGGAAGTTCACAATTGTTGAGATCACCTGTCATTTCACATATAAGCCTACAGCCTTGTAGAATAAAGGCAGCCAAAGGGTTCTGTCTTCATTTTTTTTAATGTTGTATTTATGGAGCAGGATTGATTTTATGTATCTCAGAAAGTCTACAATTCTGCTCACGGCCATTTGCTGACTAATGTCTCCAGCAGAGAAAAACGACAAGCAAGTTCATGAATTATGGCTGGCTTTGACGTTTTCTTATCCAGACTATTTTTTAGTTTAAGAACATCTGCTTTGATTAAAGCCATTAGAGCCAGGAGCAAATAAAAATGTGTCTGAATTTTACATGTCTGGCATTTTATAGCAGGAACCTTGATGAAGTCTGTCTTAATTCTCGCACCCCTAAGGCAAGTGATGAGTATTTAACCTAGCAAATTCAACTAGTTTCTTTTCCACTGTCTGATCTGGGGTTCTAGGAAAATCCTCTGGCAGGAGACTTGTGGGCTCAGCCATGTTTTACTTATTTATAGCCTCTGCTTTGCTGCAAAGGTATTTTCATTTATTTATATACTCCTCTGTGCCATTAAAAAAAAAGTGACTTGGTTGAAAAATCTGTTGGAAGATGAGTCCCAGGTTGAGTGAACCTAGAAACACCCTTATCAAATTACTTTTATATTCACACAAACTAAAAAAAAAATTGCATAGTAAATACACAAGACAAGAAGTGACATTAAATGATCTGAAACTAATAACAAAGGAGACCTGACGATTTCTCTTGCTCTACTAGAAGGCTTCAGGGTCCCTTCCTCCTGAGCTTACCGTAGATCTGGGGCTGACTGTCTGCATTCTTGCAACGTTCAGTGTTTTTCTGATTCTGTGATGTGAAGTCATCAAATCCCTCTGTGTTACCACATTTCAGGGTGACTTAGTGCTTGGAATGGAAGACGCTGTGAGTTTCTATTTAATGTAGCTGCGACAGTGGAGCGTTTCTTAAAACTCCCAGGGCCCTCCGCTCTGCCCTTGATGACACTTCCAGGTGGAGTATTTTTCTTTCATCTCTGATTTGCCAGTTTCTTCTCCCTGCCTCCACAGAGGGGAGTCAATTCTGTTTTCATCAGCTTCCTTTCTGTCTTCCTGAGCCTGCACTCTGAAAATCCCCACGTAGCTCTGCCTTGCTTGTCTGTTCCCGGTGTGCTCAAGGTCCTCCGTGTTTCCTGCACTGGAATATCATGTAGGTGGGCGCATTCATGGGCAGGTGTTATTGTAGTGGCTTTATGGAGAAGCATAAACAGGCTCGGAATTGGTGACGGTTGGTAATTCCTACAGTGGATTATGGCCTTTGTATCAGCAGTAGCCGGGACAGTCAGCAGGTGCCTTGCACATATAGACATTCCATATATCAATTTTTATCCCTGTTACATACCCATAGATCAATAACTAATATTCCATTGACCCCAGTCTGCTTATTCCTAATTACTTACCCATCGAACAAGAGCTCTCCAGCGTGGTTTAGGTCATTAACACACTAGAAATTGCCCCTATTCCTCAGGACCTGCTGTAGGCTTTTTTCCATATTCTTTTCGCCATGAATTTTTGAGTACCCCTTGGACATCCTAAATAGTTAAATAGGGCAGTGTTGTCACTGCAAGCTTTGTATAGTCCTGTGCTAGATTGGTACACCTTAACTGGCAAATAATCTTTGATTTGGGTTATGCAGAGCTATAGTTGTGGGCGTGCATGATATGAATCCATCTACAGAAATGTTACTCCTCCATGCCTTCTATGCAAATCAGTTTTAAATCATCACATGGTACAGCTGCGTTTTCATTTCTGATGGAGAAAGTCCATGAAATACAATTGCCTCGAGGCCTGGCTGAGTGATCTGCAAGGGATTGGGTGGGGGCGGGACAGGGAGATTCAAACAAATCCTCAGTTCTCGTTCTTGTGTCTCCTGGAGTCCTCTGGGGGCCCAAAGGCACGTGTTCAACGTGTGGCCCAACACATGCTCTTTTGCAAGTCAGTGGGGCATGCTCTGGGAAGAGCTGAGTGATGGGATAATTAGAACCAAGCAGACAGCGGGGTGGATGGTTTGTCTGCAGATAATAGCTTGTTTGCTAATTGCCAACACCAGATTTACTGGGCAATTAGACATTTGGTACCTTCTAAGACCTTCTGTGCAAATGTAGACACATGGCCGCGGGCCTTGCAGGTAGCAGGTGGAGAGAAGGTGGCTCCCAGGGCTGGATGGCATCTCTGCAGGCTGCCCAAGGGGCCGTGGACAGGGCAGACTTCTTGCCGACAGGTGGGAAGGACCATCTGCCTGGGCTCCCTAGCAAAGAGGCAGGATTCCCCCTGTTTTATGGAAGGGGGTGCCCTTGGCTGGGAGATTAGCAAAGAAGGTGGACTTGAGCAGTCTGGGCCAGGAGCCTGGCTTATATCTCCTTTCTCTTTTCAAGAGCACCAACCCATGGGTGCTACTAGGAATCAGAAATTGGTTTCCCTCTAAGACGAGCAAGTTGCATTTTTTTTAATGAAAACTTTTTTATTGTGATAAAGTATCTATAACATAAAATTTGCCATTTTAACATCTTTTAAGTGTACAAATCAGGGGCATTAATTGCATTCACTGTGTTGTGCAACCACTGCCACGACTATTTTTCAAACCTTGTTCATCCCTCAGAATAGAAACTCTGCACTCCCCATTCCTCCCCCCCCCCTCCCCCAGCCCTGGTAACCTCTGGTCTACTTTCTGTCTCTGTGAACTTGCCTATTCTAGATATTTCAGGCAAGGGAAATTACACAATATTTGTCCTCTTGTGTCCCACTTATTTTACTCGCCATAATGTTTTCTCAGTTCTTCTATGTTATAGTGTGTGTAAGAATTTCTTTTTTTAAATTTTTTAAATGTTTTTATTTATTTCTGAGAGAGAGACAGTGTGAGCAGGGGAGGGTCAGAGAGAGGGAGACACAGAGTCTGAAACAGGCTCCAGGCTCCGAGCTGGCAGTCAGCACAGAGCCCGACGCGGGGCTCGAACCCACGAACCGCGAGACCATGACCTAAGCGAAAGTCGGACGCTTAACCGACTAAGCCACCCAGGGGCCTCTGTGTGTAAGCATTTCATTCCTTTTTACAGCTGCATAATATTTCACGGTGTGGACATATCTCATTTTGTTTACTCGTCTGTTCATGGGTACTTGGCTTGTTTCCACTTTTTGGTTCTTGTGAATAACGTCACAGCGAACAGACACATACTGGCTTGAATCCCTGTTTTCAATTCTTTTGGGTAGGCACCTGGGAGAATTGCTGCGTCATAGGGTAATTCTGTATTTGACTTTTTGAGGATCCGCTAAACTGTGTTTCACGGCAGCTGCCCCATTTTGCACTCCCAGATGGCTACAAGGGTCCCAGTTTCTCCACATGCTTGCCAATATTTGTTATTCCTTTCTTTTTTTTATATATATATTAGCCATCTTGGTGGGTGTGATGCAGTTAGCTCACTGTGGTTTGGATTTGCATGTCTCTCATAACTGATGATGCTAAACATCTTTTCACGCACTTATTGACCATTTGTATATCTTCTTTGGAGAAATGGCTGTTGAAGTTCTTCACCCAGTGAGTTGCTTTTTTGGCCTCTGTACTTACTGGCTTCCGCACGTTTCTCCCAGGGGTTGGAATTTGAGGCTCCTTGGTGGGGAGAGAGACCGTATGCCTGCAGCGAGCGGAGGTGGCTGAGCAGATTTGAAGGCTCACATTTACTCTTCCGTGATTCGTTTCATTCCCTCCGCCCGTTTGGCACCTGCTGGAGTGATGCTATTTGAGCTCTCACCAAGCAGGAAAAAACAAAAATCAGTAAGTGTGTGGGAGTCACCAAAGTGATTTGGCAGCAGAAGCAGACAGAGCCGCTCCTGTTCTCCCGTAGAAGCATCTAGGCTTTCTCAGACACCTCACACCTTCCGGGTTCCCTTGACCACAAGTATCATTTTAACAAATTACCTATTTTTTTTTTTCCTGCTGGGTCTTAGTCCATGTGCTGCTAGATGGGGCAGCAATTGCAGAGCAGCTCAGAAGACACCCGGGGTTGGCCATTGTCCCCATGGTGGGAGGCCACCGTCCCTGCTCCGCTGCTCTGCCGGCCCTGCTGGTCCTGGGTGGTGGGCAGGGAGAGCAGTGTGGGGACAGTAGGCCTTCTCCCTGGGTGCTCGCTCCTGGGGGAGGGCAGCTAGGCTCTGGCAAGATGTCAGGACAAATGTCAGCCCCGGAATAATTGCAAGAGGAGCAGGGCAATCGACAAAATGATGTTTGTCTGCCCTGCTCTTGGCTCTTCTCCGGTGTGACTTTGTGGGGCCCCACGTGCGGGGTCCAGGAATGCTGACCCACCTGTCATTCTGCTGTGGGTTTTTTTTTACTGGATGTCAAAGACCTTCAGTATCGCCGAAGAGAGAGGAGTTCTCCGTGGTGTGATGCAGCCTCATGCCGGAGGGAGGGAGGAGGGGATGTGTCCACTAAGCATCAACAATCTTTCTGGAAGCTGCAGTCCTGTCCTGTGTTCCTGTAAGAAGTCTTGTTGGGAGGCACCTGGGTGGCTCAGTCAGTTAAGTGTCTGACTTTGGCTCAGGTCATGATCTCACGGTTCGTGGGTTCGAGCCCTGCGTCGGACTCTGTGCTGACAGCTCAGAGCCTGGAGCCTGTTTCAGATTCTGCATCTCCCTCTCTCTCTGCCCCACCCCTGCTAATGCTGTCTCTCTCCCTCTCTCTCTCAGAAATAAATAAAACATTAAAAATTAAAAAAAAAAAAGAAAAAAAAAGAAGGCTTGTTGGCCTGTAGGGTGGGGTAGGGAACCTGAGGGCTGTGGATACTTTTTCAAAAAACAAAAAACAAACAAACAAACGAAAATGTACACAAGAGTTTGCACGGGTGTCTACAGGTTCATCTGGTCCGTCATGGTACCCGGGTTAGGAACTGGCTCGTTAGAGGGCACAAGCCTGGAGCCGAGGCCACGAGGGGATAGGGCAGCATCTCTGCTAGGGGGGAGTCGGGTGGCACATAGTGAGAGGCCTGGTGGCCCCTGGGAGAAGAAGAACGTTTCATTTGGTCAAGTTTAAGCACCAAACACGAGGGCGTGCCAGAACGGGCGCTCGGCGTTTACAGCCGGGGTCCGCCTTGTCTACACCGTCAGCCGGCTTTCTAGCGGCAATAGCCCCGGTTGCAGGGAAGTCAGGCAGCGCCCCTCTGCCCCCGGGCTCAGCCCACACGCTTCTAAGGAGTACGTGTGTCTTTTCCTTCCAGAAACAGCCCCCACATCTGCATATTCATCTCCGGCCCGGAGTCTGGGAGACACCGGAATAACGCCACTGTCCCCTTCCCATATTGTGGTAAGGAACGCGTATGTATGCGTGCGGCTGTGTGCTGACTGTGTTTGCTTTCTGGACGTGCTCCCACGAGGCAGGCTGCTGGGCGGCCCCTCACGTTCACGGGTGGAGACCGCGTTGTTCTGGAACCAGCCGTGGGAGCCCACCAAGCCCCTTGCCCACCCGGGGCCTGGAAAGGCCTTCTGAGGTGTGGCCGGGGCTTCCGGAGCTGTTGGCCTGGGCGGGTAGCAGGCAGGGTGGCAGCTGTCCTTCAACGATCGAGGGCCCAGAGACGACGGTGAGGCGTCCTTCTGGAAGGGAGCAGCCGCAACTGGCCGGTGCCTCCAGCTCCCTGCTGTGTCCACATGCCTGTGGCTGAGCTCACTGCTCCCACCGCGGCCCCCGGGAGAAGACGTGCTTGCTGAGGGGGTGGGAGACTGGGCATTTGCGCCCACCCGACCCCTTGAAAAGATGGATATTGTGGGGCAGCTGTTCAAGGGGCCAACCAGAGAGAAGTACCCGAGGAGGGGTAGCTTCCCGGGTACCAGCTTGTCCTGGTTTTACCATCGGGTTTTACCTCACTCAGTGTCCTAGAAGTCCCTCAGTCCTGGGGGACCTGGGAGGCTGGCTGCAGGCTTTCACACTCTGCACCCTGAGGCCTCCCTGTACGAGCGCCAGGGTCACCCTGGGGTGTGTGGGCATGGGGGTCAGTGAGGAAAGGCAGATGAGTGGGGCTCTCACCCCCTTCTCTAAACAATATGCTTCGAACCCCCAATGCATTGGTGTATAACGTGGAGCTCTGTGGATATATAACAAGTCTACACTGCAAAAAAAAAAAAAAAAAAAAAGGCAAAAAGAAAAAAATGGTTTGGAAAGCTGGGATGGACTGACCCACTTGCTTAATGCTGAGGAACATCTCTGGTCCCCGAGGGCATGGGACTTGCCAAGATCACGTGGTGAGGGTCCCTGGCCTGCAGAGCCTTACTCCCACTCACAGCACACCCGAGCAGATGGAGTGCTCACCGGGGTGTGCCCAGGCCACAGCGCGGAGCATTCTGGGTGGGCAGCATCTGGAGGTCTGCACACGAACGCGGGAAAGGCAGCAAGGGGAAGGTTGGGTCAGTCAAGGAACCCCTGGGCTTCCAGACCGGATGGTAGAACTTCCATAATTCGTCATGTTCATAAGCAGTTGATAAAGGGGGGTAGTGGGCAAGCTGTAGGCAAGTGACTTCACCCTGTCAGCTTGGCCGACCATTCAGGGGACACCTGCATTTCTCCCTGTGCCACCCGGGCGGGGAGCCGAGGCTGGCCTGCCTTCTCCACAGGGCTCACTGCGCGGCACACTTGAGCCAGAATTCTGTCTATAGTGGGTGCACATCTGGGCACAACCCCCGGGGTGTCCTCCTGAAAGCAGGCTGGCCACCCCACCCTCCTCGGTGTATCTGCAGAATGACGCTGACCCGAATGTCTCGGAGCAGCAGACGTTTCTCGTGGTGGTGGCCATTGACTTTGGGACCACGTCCAGTGGCTATGCCTACAGCTTCACCAAGGAGCCAGAATGTATCCACGTGATGAGGTGAGTGCTGTGGGGGGGGAGGGCCATGAGCAGGCGCCAGTCAGTGCACCTGTGGAGACTTGGGGGGGGCCTGGGGGAGGGGAGTTAGTTTAAGGAGCAGGTGAGTGGCACTTAGTATGTGGGTTCTGGATTCTGGCCCAGCTCAGCCCAAACCCACTGTGCCATTTTGGGTAAATCACTCTTATCCCTGGGCTCCAGGTTTCTGGTCTGTAAAAGCGTTGGTTTCATTCTGACTCAGTTGGTCGGGGGAAGGGCTTGGACAGTGCGTTTGAAAACTGGACCAGGTTATTCCAGCAGGCGACTCAGGCAAGAGGTGCCGACTCAGGGTATCTGTGATGGAGGAGGTCCAGACATTAGCTCGGCCACATACTGTGTGAGCTTCTGCAAGTGCTGGACCTCGTGAACCTCAATTTCCTCATCTGTGAAATGGGGATAAGGACAGTGTCTGCTTCTCAGAGTGTGTGTGCGAATGAAATGAGATTTTCCATCAAGGGCTTAGCACGGAGTGAAATGTGAGAAGGGAAGGTCCTAATTCTTACGTGACAGTGACCAGAGGCAGAAAGCACCATGCCTAAGAAGAAGCAGGAGGGTGGATTTCAGCCAAGGGAAATAACATTGAATTGCTTGGGAGGAATTCTCACACAGTAGCAGCAGCGTTCAAGTTCTCAAGAGACATCATCTCGGTTCTTGTAGAGATTTTTTTTTTTTTTAAATTATTTATTTCTAGGAGAGAGAGAGAGACAGCGTGAGCAGGGGAGGGTCAGAGAGAGAGGGAGTCACAGACTGAAACAGGCTCCAGTCTCTGAGCTGGCAGTCAGCACAGAGCCCGACGCGGGGCTCGAACCCACGAACCGCGAGATCATGACCTAAGCGAAAGTCGGACGCTTAACCGACTAAGCCACCCAGGCGCCCCGGTTCTTGTAGAGATTTTGGAGAGAGTTTCCACGTGAATTTTATTTCAGTCAGAACATGTTAACGTCACCATGGTACAGACTGACGAAATTATGACAGAGAAAGTTTAACTTTTTGTATTTTAATAGGAATGAAGGAATAAAAATTGTAAGGGGAAAAACTCAGAAGGTTCATTGCCTACTGCAAATGTCCATGTTAATGGTAACAGAAAGTCCATTCGTTGAAAGGTCGTGTTTGGAGCGTCACCTTGGCCCCGGTGCCCAGCGTCTGCCTGGGTGGTGATCATCCCTCTGTCTCAGTGGGGTCGCCATGGGGAGCCCTCCCTGGGTAAAAGCCTGCATCTTGATGGAGCTTGGCTGGGGCACCTTCCAGGGGTGGTTCCAGACCCATCTGCATGGCAAAGCTAGGCTGGCTCTCCCCCCGGACTGTGATGGTGCTACCGAAGCTTAACGATGCAGTGACGGGAGCAGGTGTGGACTCAGCCAGGTGCCCCGCCCCCTTCCCCAGGCAGGGGAGAGAGGCGACTTCCCCTCCTATACTGTGTCACCACCAGAGGCTCCTCGTGGTGGTCGCGTGGCTAGCGGACGGGGGGCCAGCTGCAGAGCCAGCACCTGGTAGAGAAGAGAGCATCCTGGCCACCGTGGCTCCCGTGGCTTCTCTGCTGTGGCCCCAGAGCAGGAGGGAGGAGCTTCGAATCCCCTGCTCTCTCCACTCTCCTTTGTATTCTCCTTTCTACCTGAGAGAAGGAAGGAAGCTTCACTGGGGCTCCACCTACCCCCTGCCCCACCCCCTTATTCTTCCGTCAGTACCAGGATGTAATCGCACAACCTCTGCCTGTCTGTCTGTCCTCACCTCTCTCCTCTTCAACACGGCCTTGCAGGACATAGTCCCTTCCCAGCTCACTGCGCCCATCAGGGCTCTCCTGCCACCTTGTGCTGTGGCTGTCACTCTGCTAGGGAGGCACCCACGTCTGTTGCCTCCTGGGTGTCTCCTGGAAACGCCAGGCTTACAGTCTGTCCCGGGAGTTCATTGCCATGGGCTCACCTGGGGTTTCCCACTTTCCTTGGTTAGGGCTCCAGGTTTCCGTAAGGGCGCTTTCTCCTCTAGGCTCTCAGAGCTCACCTCCGTTGCCATTTAGCTCGGTTCTCCCTTAGGATGGCTTGTCCTCCTCCGAGACCCCTTTCCTCTGTCCTGGTTTGAGCCCCGTTGTCTCTGCTCCCAGAATAGGGCTGCACCTCCTCCTCAGCCTCCTGGCTTCCCGTCTAGTTCAGTTTGCTCTGATCAGTCACAACTCTGATTCTGCCGTGCCTCTGCCCTAAAACCTTCAGTGGCTCCCTGTTAGTCACTGATTAAGTCTCTCCCTCCCCAGGGTTCTCTGCAGCGTGGTTCCAAAAACCTTCACAATCTCGTTTCTCACACTTCCATTTGTACACACCTTCTCTACCCCACACAGTCTCTTAGCATCCCCATAAATGCCCTGTGTTTACCCACCTCTGAGCAGCCTGCAGTGCCCTTCCCTCCTTCTAGATCTGGCTCCCTGTCAGTCCTTAAAGCCTCTCCTGAGCCCTGCATTCTTCCCCTGCCCCACCACCTGGCACCTCTGCCTTCTCTGACCCCCAGGGCATTTTCCTGGGCCCCTTCATCTCCATGTGATAAGGCCGGTATTTATGTATTTCTTTATACCCTACCTTGTTTTAGAGAGGACACAAATACATGTGCTTTGAGTGCTTGCAAATTAAAAAAAAACAGACCCCCTCTCTCCCCCAAAAAGACATAACCTACTAGGTTGTGAGTGCTTGAAGGCAGAGACATAAATGTTTCATCTCTGTGTCCATAGCACCTGCACAGAGTAGATGCTCAGTAAACGCTGAGTGCAAGGTCAAAGCAGACCTTATTGCTGAGCAAGAACCGGGTGCTGGCTACTTCCATACTGCTTTCTAACTGAAGTCATATCTCTGATCACTGCTCAACCAGCGGGCCTGGAGAGCATCTGCAGCAGCTGCTGTGAGCACCCACACCTATAGGAATCATGCACATGTGCTCACATCACTGCTGTCTGAACTGGGCTTAAGCGAGAAGGTCCCACAGCCTCTGCCTTTCTTTGGTGTCAGGCGATGGGAAGGAGGCGACCCTGGGGTGTCCAACCAGAAGACCCCAACCACCATCTTGTTGACCCCCGAGAGGAAATTCCACAGCTTCGGGTATGCCGCCAGGGACTTCTACCATGACCTGGATCCCAACGAGGCCAAGCAGTGGCTGTACTTGGAGAAGTTCAAGATGAAGCTGCATACCACTGGGGTAAGCGAGAGACTCTCCCTGGCCGCCGGTCCCCTGCAATGGAGAGCCAAGGTTCCCCCAGCCATGGGGTGGCGGGAGGTCTTCCCAACTCAGGAAACCCTTAGGTGTCTCCCAAGCAGAAATTAACATCCGTTTACCTTGATCTTAGAAATGACTTGGCACACTTAACCCTTTTGTGGCAGAGACAGCACTTTCTGATACACATGTGTGCAGAGAGATATTCAGAATATTTAACAGCTTGTTTGCCTTGGACACTGACCGGAGTGGACACTGGCTGGAGCACAGGAGCAGGGGGTGGTGGGGGGTGGGGGGAATGCATGCCAGGAGATCCCCCTTCGGTTGCTGGGTTGTTGGGAGATTGGAGATTCAGAAGGAGGGACTTGGGGGCTTGGGGCATTTGGGGGACCTAGGGCAGTGGCCATCTAACTAGCATAGAAGTAACAACTGGTAGGGAGCCTGGGCGTGGTTCAGTCAATTAAACATTGACTCTTGATGTTGGCTCAGGTCATGATCCCACGGTTTGTGAGATCAAGCCCCACATCGGGGTCTGTGTTGAGTGTGGTGTCTGCTTGGGATATTCTCTCTCTCTTTCTCTCTCTCTCTCTCTCAGTAAGTAAATTAATTAATTAATTAACTAATAAAAAAAAAAAAGGAGTAACAACTGGCCCGTTAGCTCTCTGTGTGGGGAAGCGGGCAGCTCAGGAACTCAAGCCCAACTATTGGAGGCTCAGTTCCCAAAGCAGTTCTGTTCTCAGGATGCCAGTTCTAGAAGCTGTCTCCATCAGTTAGGCCCCCCTCCCGAGCGTCATGGAAAAATTTGGGCCACAGGACAGGACTCTTCTCAGTTTGAGCGTTTTATCCCATGAGTTTTCCTTCATTCTTGGTACTTAGAGATTCAGGATGGCGGTGGTGTTTAAGACCCTGGGACTAGATGGCCTAGATTTAAATCCTGCCTCTGCCACCTTCAAGATACTTAATCCAAGTTACTTAACCTCGCTACACCTCCCGTAAAATAGAGACACTGACAGTGCCTTCTTCATGGGGATGTTGTAAGGATTAAAGGAATCAAAATACGCAAAGCTCTTAGAGCCAAGCTGGTACTTAGTAAGTTCTAGTTAATTGCCAGCTCCCATTATTGCTTTCCTTGTAGGCTGTTAAGTGCTTGCAGATGACAAAACACATGTTAATGGAAACCCAGCAGCCAGCACCCCGCCTCCCAGGCTGTGTGCCCCGTGGTGTGGTTGTCTCTCTGTGAAGCAGACAGGCATCTGCCAGAAATGTGTCCTTTTACCTGATGGGATTCAGCGCTGAACAGCAATCTCGTGCAGGTGGAAAGTCCAGGAATTTTTCAGTCTTAGTTTTTTTTTCAATTCTGAGCCTATGGCTTCCGGGTGCTTGGCCACCTCTCTGAGCCTGGGAGTCGCCTCCCCAAATCTGGAGTGTCCTTGCTGAGCACCCGGGGTGGGAGGTGGCTGGTTGGGAGGAGTGGGTTTGTGCCCATGGGCCAGCCTCCACGAGGCCAGTTTAGTAGCTTCGTGCCCCTTCATGCTCTAAAGGCGAAGCGTAATTATCCAGTCAAGACTGATCCGGATGCCCCACTGATTGTTTTTCCCCCTGGCCATAATGAGCCTGTCGGTTTTGGGGTGACTTAGGGCCTTCCTTCTGGTGTCCGGTCCCATTCTCTGCCCATCTCCACCCTGTGAGCACTTTTCCTGTCGTTTTTGAAGACTCTGGCCCAGCCAGCAGCTCACAGAGCACCCTCCACCCGAGGACCAGACTGCTTTAGCTTCTGGCAGAGGAAGGGAGGCAGTGATGCTGTGCTCCCCAGAGGATTAAGCACAAGCCTTAAAAATAGGAGCTCTTCTATTTTGGTGACTTGGTTGGCAGCTCATTGGGAAATGAAAGCTTCATGTCTGTGTAGCATCGTGCACGCCAGCGAGTTGCTGTGATTATTTAGGCCTCCGCTAGGGGGGCTCCTGAGGGTGACCGTGTGTGTCCAAGTGTGGAAGTAGCGTGTAAATTGCATCAGCGGTGGTGCCTGCTGCCTTTTCTCCCTTCCTGGGCTCTGTCCCTGCGCTGAGACCTCTGCTCCGTGAGGACCCAGGAGAGAGAGAACAGGAGGGAGGGAAGGAAGGAGGGAGAAGTGGGGGGAGGGGTTGAACGGAACAGCAGAGGCCCCCCCTACAGTGCTGCCAGGCTCATTTTGGGGGACATGCTATTCTCGTCTACCAAATATCAGGTAACAGAAATATGACTCACTGGGATCCCCAGGCCCCCAAGTAGCAGCTCCTGAAGCTACAAGGTGTGTCTCCCCTCCCGGGTCTCACCACTCGTTCCTGTCCCCACCAGGACCTCACCACGGATACAGACCTAACGGCAGCAAATGGCAAGAAAGTCAAAGCCCTTGACATCTTCGCTTATGCCCTGCAGTACTTCAAGGAGCAGGCGCTGAAGGTAGGGCACGTGCCCACCCGCTGTGGTGGAGGAGGTGCACCTGCCAGCTGGGGCACCGGGGATGCCCCGAGGGCGTGCAGGACTGGCAGGCAGAAGGCAGGATGCAGCCTGGTGCCCTGCTGCTGGGAGTGGAAAATGGTGCAGCTGCCATGGAAAAGTCTGGCAGATTCTTAAGGTTAAACACAGAGTCACCACATGACCCAGCGATTCCACTGCTCGGCATACACACGAGGGAAATGAAAACACATATTCACACAAAAACTTGTATGTGAGTGTTTATAGGAGCGCTGCTTATATTAATGAAAAAGCAAAAACAATGTGAATGTCCATCATTGTGCAGGTTACTAAGTATGGTCTCTCCATACAATGGGATATTATTCAGCCATAAAAAGGAATATAGCACTGACGCACAGGACGGTGTGGATGGACCTTGAACACAGTCTGCTAAGTGAGAGAAAGCAGACAATACTGCAGGATTCCATTTGTTTGAAACGGCCAGAGTAGGTGGATCCCCAGAGACAGGAAGCAGATTCGAAGTTGCTAGGGGCTGGGGGAGGGGATAGGAGTGACTGCTACAGGTACGGGGTTTCTCTGCCGGGTGACGGAATTAGATAGTGTGAGGGTTGCACAACCTTGTGAATATACTAGAACCCACTGAACAGTACACTTTAAAAAGGAGACTTTTAAGGGGTGTCTGGGCAGCTCAGTCAGTTAAGCATCCAACTCTTGATTTTGGCTCAGATCGTGACCTCACGGTTCTTGAGTTTGAGTTCTGCATCAGGCTCCATGTTGACAGCACAGAGGCTGCTTGGGATTCTATCTTTCCCTCTCTCTCTGCCACTCCCTGGCTCCATCACGCGTGCGTGTGCTCTCTCTCTCTCTCTCTCTCTCTCTCACTCTCTCCCTCTCTCTCTCTCTTTAAATAAATAAATAAATAAACTTTTTTTTATAAAGGAGAATTTTATGGTATATGAATTACATCTCAGTAAAAAATCAGAAAGACGGACAGAAGACACACTGTGTGACAGCTGTGTGACCTCCGGCAAGGTGCTTAATTGCTCCGCTACCCACCTCTCTAAGCTGAACAGCGGGGCAGGTCCTGTACCCCGTGTTTTGGTGGTACATCAGACATGCGGTGCCTGCCTCGGGGCTGGGCACAGTCAACTCTGGGCAAATGGTTGCTGCTGTCCACCCCCCAGACCCCACAGAAGCAGCTGGTGTATGAGTGAACCCCGGGAAGACTATTGCAAAGGTTTGTGCAGCGATGATCCTGGATGTGGGAGAACAGCTGCGTCCTCAGTGGAGCGCAGCTGTCCACTCAGCGGCTTCTCCCATGGGCATGTGACGCGTGGGTGTAAATCAGATGCGTGTCCTGAGCTTTAGCCAAAAAGAATTGGGAACTTTAGAAGCATTTGGTATTGTGTGATCACTAGTAGAAATTGAGTGACTTCTAGAAATAGGATAGAGTTCTAGAAATAGGGCTCGAGGGAAACAAAGACGTGAGAACATAATAGTGCTTTCTTTCTTTTCTTTTTTTCTTTTTTTTTTTTGATAGAGAGAGACAGCATGAGCAGGGGAGTGTCAGAGAGAGAGACACACAGAATCCGAAACACGCTCCAGGCTCTGAGCAGTCAGCACAGAGCCTGATGCAGGGCTCGAACCCACGGACTGTGAGATCATGACCTGAGCCGAAGTCAGACGCTTAACCGAGCCACCCAGGCACCCCGATAGTGCTTTCTTTCATTCATTCAAGTACCTTTCTCATCTTCCTCCCTCCCTCCTTTCTTCCCTCTCTCCTTCCTTCCTTCTTTCCTTCCTTTCCTATTCATGTGTCAGATCAAAAGGCAATGTCAAAATAAAGACAGTGTGAAGGAGTATGTAGTCGGTGGGTCGGTGTTGTGAGGGGGTAACTAAGTGGGTATTTGGTGTATGAGTGAACCCACTGCCCTAAGGGCAACAGCAGGAAAAACAGCAGGAAAAACTCCTTGGAGGAGGGGCATTGGGGGGGTCTCAGTGGCAGCAGCTGGAAGGGGGGTGTTTTAAGAACAGTGCAGGGGAAGGAGAACACAGCAAATTGTGGAAAGCCAGCAGTTTTGAGTGGGAGAAGGGCTAGGCTGTAGGATACAGCGGGAACGGTGAGCTCGGGTCGAGATTGTGCAGAGCCTCGAATGCCAAGCTAAGGAACATCTTGGGCAATGGAGAGCCATCAAAGGCTTTCTAATAGGGGAATGCCATGGCCACAGAGACAGCATTAGAGGGAGGGCGACCACAGCGTCCCAGGGCCTGCGGGGTGGAGGAGAGCCATGTGGAGGCAGCTGACTCCCATCCGCAAGCAGGTGTGTCTGAAGGCTCTGTGACTCCGAGCGAGACTAGCAGGTCATTTGTGGCGCGTGAAGACCAAGAAGAAAGAGAGGGGGGAGGGGCGAGGGAACAAGTGGATCCTGGGAAACGGTTCTTCCACCAGAAAGGGAGAGGGGAGAGGACGGAAGAAGGCGTAGGAGGGAGAAGGGGGCAGGAGGGGAGGGCACCATCATTGCTGGGGACAGCCAAGCAGACCGGGAGGCGCCCACAGAGGCGGACCTGCCTCAGCCCGAAGAGCGGAGATCCCAGCGGGCTGGGCTCGGCGTCTGGTAGCTCAGACCGCCAGGTGAAGGATGGCCTGCCTGTAGCACAGGTGGACATCCGGAGAAAGGTCAGGGATCAGAGGGAGGCCGAGTACCCAGGGGCCCTTTGAGTTCAGGGAAGGAGCCAGGAGACCTGCGGGGAAAGTTAGGGCCTGAGAAAGTCCCTGACGCTGAATTGTGTTTCAAGGTGGTTAAGGGGTAAAGAGTGAGCAGCCCGTCTCAGAAGGGGAGGGAAGAGGTGGACGGGGCAGAGATCAAGCAGGGGTGCAGGAGGGCGTGCGATTTCAAACATGTCAGCTCAGCTGCAAGCTCCAGGAACCTGCTGGCACCTTCTGCCGGCAGAGGACGTGTGTAGAGACATCCCACGAAGAATAGCTTTTGGAGGAGATTCGTAAGGACCGGGCCCTTCACGAGAGGCTGGCTCGTATTTGAAGGAGTCAGAGGAGGGGTTATTGCATGTTGGACCCGGATAAGCACAGGAGAATGTCTACGAAGGCCGCATATCTGAGGAATCCCACGCAGGAAGCAGGCTCGTCTTTCATAAAGTGAAAGTCCCGACAATGAGTTTAATAAATGGCATTGCGCCTTGCCCTTCCAAGCTGCACTCCATCGTCTGGTAACAAACAGCGTGTCCAAACAACCTTCCCTCCAGCCAGGAAAGCCCATCATTCATGTTTTGAGCCTTTTCCTGTTTAAAGAGTTTAAAATAGGGGCGCCTGGGTGGCTCAGTCAGTTAAGCATCTGATTCTCGCTCAGTTCAGGGTCCTGATCTCAGGGTCGTGAGTTCAAGCCCCACACTGGGCTCCGCGGATTGGACTCTTTACTGAGCCTGAAGCCTTCTTAAAACAAAACAACACAGAAGAGTTTAAAATAGGTTAGATGGTAACAGGCAGCATACTTAGGACTCTTCCTTACGTATGTCGTTAGCCACCTGCCTCCAAAGCCCAAGGCAGACCTGCAAGGAAATAAAACACAATAAAACACACAAACAAAACCTCCCACTGTTTCGCATGAGCATCATGCAGAGATGTTTCTATTACTAAACATACCTAACACTGCTGAACTGTATGCTTAAAAAAGGCTCACAGGGTAGATTTTATGTTACGTGTTATTGTCACAGTTAAAAAATGAAACATTTTTTAAAAGGAAGAAGAGGGGCGCCTGGGTGGCTCAGTCGGCTGAGCGTCCGATTTCAGCTCAGGTCATGATCTCGCGGTTCGTGGGTTTGAGCCCCGCGTCGGGCTCTGTGCTGACTGCCAGCTCAGAGCCTGGAGCCTGTTTCAGTCTGTGACTCCCTCTCTCTCTGACCCTCCCCTGCTCACGCTGTCTCTCTCTCTCTCCTAGAAATAAATAAAAACATTAAAAATTAAAAAAAAAATAAAAGGAAGAAGAAAAGGAACTGACTGATCAAAGAGGAAGTTAGTTCAGTGAGAGGGTGGGTCAGTCCCCAGTTAACTCCTGAAACAATAGAGGAAACGAGATACCCATCAGAAAAAACAAATCGCCAGCCTATTAATCTTCCGAAGCACGTCCCCAGAACCGACTCGGATGTAGGAGTGCAGTAGTGCGTGTTTGGGTTTGATTTCAGATTTGTCTGGTGACTGGCAACGGGAGCCGAGGGACAGGAAGGAACTGGATTTATCAGAGGGCTTCTCCGGGCAAGACGTTCCTGTGCGTTCTCACTTGGTCTTGCCCGAAACACTGTACATTAGTTTTATTGTCCCCATTTTACAGATGGGAATACTGAGTCTGAGAACTATTCTAGAGACGTATTTTGTCTGCATGGACTTGGTGCAAACCTCTGATGCTTCTGCCCATCCCCTGTATCCATGTGGTTTCTGCGGAAGTGGTTTAACCTTAACCAAAAGTTAAGGGCGGCCCAGTTCTTGCTTAAGTCACGTTCATATCCTTCCTGTCCTGCAAGGAGAACTCCCCTGATGTGCTGGCCTTGTGATAAGGTAGACGACAGTGACCACTCTGACGACAACTGGGCCAGGCCCTGTTCTAGACACAAGACCACATGTAACAAATTAGTTGAGACTTTGGCCTTTAAGAGTCAAGATATATCTGGGTCTGGGTCCAAATTTTTGTTCTGCCACTTGCTAGCCGTGTGGTCATCAAAAGGTTCTGAACATATCTAGGTAAGATTCCCATCTGTGAAAAGGTGCACAGTTATATCCCTTCCTAATGGGATTCTGGGATTAATGGAGATGAGTTATGCAAAGTTCTTAACAAAGTTGTCACAGAGTAAGTTCCCAGGAAATGTAGCTTTCAGAAAACTGTCAGCCCTTCCAACAATAGTATAAGCGAGGGATTATTATCGGCATTGTGCAGATAAGGAAACTGAGTCCTGGGAGGCTGTCACTTGCCCTGTCACGTGATTCAGAAGTGGCCAAAGGCCTCTAATCTCCCGCCTCCGGCCTACAGTCACATTTAGTGAGTGAAAGGGGCCTCCCTGCTTGTGGAATATTCAGGAAACAGATCCTTGCTCCTTGACACTGGTATGTTCAGGAGGCAGCAGAATAATTACCCCAAGAGTTCATGGCCAGGAAGCCTGGAATTCTCGGTGAAGCTGTAGGGGGACCAGCTGTGTCCACTTGACCTGCTGCATTTCCCTTGGTTTTAGGAGCTGAGTGACCAGGCGGGGTCGGAGTTCGAGAACTCTGATGTCAGATGGGTCATCACAGTGCCTGCCATTTGGAAACAGCCCGCCAAGCAGTTCATGAGACAAGCTGCCTATCAGGTGAGTGTGGGGGTGGGGCGGGTGGGGGTCCGGGGTGCCTGCAGTGGTGACTGTCACTCCACTCAGGTGTCCCCAGCACTCACAGGCCCCCCTGGGAGGCAGTGAGGGGTCTTCCGCTGGTGAGGAGACTTGGAGCCTTTCTCCTGGGGGAGGAACGGGGTTCAGATCCACAAGCGTTGGGCTGGGCCTTGTTTTCTTTCTGGTTTTATAATACCTTATTATTATAATAATATAATACCGTGGACTCCCCAGGGCTAGGATTTCAAAGTGGGGTGCAGAGACATTTCTCTGTGGGTGAATGGAAGTGAGAACCTCAAGGAAAAGGCTTGGGCAACAAGAATGTTTGAACAAGTAAAGAATAAAGACAAGGCCAATGGCCACATACCGGGCACATCAGGGCTGCTGTGCAGGTTGAAGGCTGCATGTATGCGGCTGGGAAATAAAGGAAATGTGATTGCGTTCTGCACATTTCACCTTGGGAATAACACAGGAGCACATACGGTCGGGGGTGGTGAGGTCACCGTACCTGCCTGGTGGCAGGCACCTGGATGAGGGAGTGGCCTGGCTGAGGACCATGCAAGTCAGCACCGTGCCACGGACCGAGCATTCCGGTGCCGATGGCCAGCCTGTCCCTCCTTGGCGCTGGGGGCGTCGCTGGTGCCATGGGCCTGCTTGAAGGCCGACCTGTGCCACAGCGGGGCTGCCACGAGGGTCTGACTTCATGGCAGGAATGGCTGGCGTGCTGACCTGCTGTGCTGACCCCCAGGTCAGAGCTGGCTCTGGCTGTACTTGATCCCCTAGGTTAATGCAAGCCCACCTTGGGGACTGCACCCACTCTGTGCAGTGAGATTCCATTTTCAGAGCCTTCAACCTGGGCTGGGCTGGGGAAAGTCACCAAGGTCATAGATGCTTCCTTGCCTGCCCCCCCCCCCCCCCCCCCCCACCTCTCAGGGATCAGCCACTTTGCTCTTCGATGTTGAGTTTGTAGCCATAAGTAGGAACCTTTCTTTTCAAAACACCCACTGAATCAACCCTGAGCCCCGAATGTAGCAAAGCGGTCATGGGTACCACAACAGCTTCATTAGTGTCATGAATTGTAGTCAATGCTTGGAGCCTTATTGCAGGTGATGGATAGAGATCAAGGGAGAGCAATGTCCCCATTCCTCAGTCTCCCCACTTCCGTTTCTTCCCTCCTCTGCCGCAGGCTCTCCCCTCTGCTCTCCCCTTCAGCGTGAGAATCTGGCCCAGCGTATTTATCTGCCAAAAATAGATTTGTTTTTATAGGGATGAAGGAAGAGGGTGGAGGTTCCAGAAAGAGGCGACTTCTTTAAAAAGGAAAAAACCACACGCAGTTTAGCTGGGCACAGAACCCCTGGGCGTCTTGGAGCTTTTCTGCAGGGTCAGCCGTCAGGCCGTGTCCGAAGACGGGGTGCTGGGACACAGCTGTCGAAAAGGCACAGCCCCGTGTTCTGAGTTTCCACCGGGAGGGTACTCAGGACGCGTGGCTTTGACTCTCGTTTTCCCACAGGAAAACTTCAGCAACAAACATGTGACCCGGAAAAGGGTCAGTTCTTATTTTTAGCCCGAAAAAGAAAGAGGTGGAGGGACTGGTAGATTTGTCAGGGCTGTTGGAGCCCTGGGCTACTGGTCCAAAGACTGCCTCTCTGAGCAGTGGGGCCTGGCCGTGAGGCCCCTTATACTCTGTGTGGGGAGGAAACCAGGCACTTGGGGGTGTGGTGCCTTCCAGCGTTTGGCAGAATCAAAATGGCACCTCAGAGGGTAGATGATGGGTCAGCAGCTCCTCAGAGGGGGGTAACATGACCAGGTTTATGGACGTGGGGAATTTTCTTTCTGAAGCCCAGAGAGAAACCCACCACAGACAGGCCTATCCTTTGGATGCTGGGTAACTTCTGTCTGGTGCAGTGTTTGTGCAGCTTAATCTTTGGCTCTTTGTACTTCTTTGTACTTTGTACTTTGGATATCTGTGTCCAGTTTAAAGTCACTGAGTGGATTTCAAGATGGCAGGGGGCATTCAGTCATTCTTTGTCCACTCATTCATGTATTCATTAAATCCACACTAGGGACTTGGGTGTGCTGAGACGGGCCAGCACTGGACTCATCTCCTGGATGACAGACAGGATGAGGGCCCCGCTCTCTGTGCCTCGCAGCTGAGTGGTTTGGTGAAGCCTTTTGTACTTTGGGAAGTGGGGCGGAGGGTATTAAAGGGGCACAACTGCTTTGCCAACCAGCCTGTGGTGTCTTTAGCCTGTCTTCTGGAAGAGTTTCCATGACAAAATGGAAATGAACCATGGCCAAAATTAGCATCTGTCCAGTCCTCTCTTCTTATCTGCCATTGATTTTACAGAATAAGAAAAATGTGTGCCTATGCTAGTTAATTTTATGTGTGAACTTGACCAGATATGTAAACTGCCATGTTTGGTCAGACATCATTCCGAGTGTTGCCCTGAAGGTATTTTCGAATGAGATTAACATTTAAATTGGCTGACTAAATAAAGCAGATTGCCCTCTGCAGGGTGGGTGGGCCTCATCCAATCAGTTGAAGACCTTGACTAAAACAAAAACTCCCTAGATTAGAAGGAATTCCTCCTGCCTTGCTGCCTTCAAATTGGAATATTGGTTTTTTGTTGTTGTTATTGTTTCATTTTTTGTTTTTTGGTTTTTTTCTGGGTTTTGTTGTTGTTGTTTTTTCCTGCCCTTGGACTCAAACTGAAACATTAGCTCTTCCTGGGTCATGAGCCTCCTAGCAAGGTATCTGTATCATCAGCTCCATGGTTCTCCAGCTTGCTGACTGCAGACCTTGGGACTTGTCAGTCTCCATAATTGTATGAGCCAATTCTTTAAAAAAAACCCTTTCTACGATTACGAAGATCCTGCTTGTTCTGTTTCTCTGGAGAATATGAATACGGAACATGAGCAAAAACCACGGTTCTTGCCCAGCCAGCTTCTGAGGTCTGAGAATGCCCACCCAAGCTTTTCACCCAAAGTGCTGCCCACCAGCCTGGGAGCCGGAGGGATGAGGCAGGATGGTACCCCGTCAGGGCAGAGGGGCCACTGGTCACCTCTACCCTGCTTGACATGCAGAGAATGGAGTCTCTCCTTCAGGCTGAGCCCAAGTTCATGGCACAGTCTCCCGGGGGCTGTGCTTCATCCCTTGGATGGCCTGGCGGAGGGGGGAGAGGCCAGGGTGCAGCGCGGGTGATGAGGCTCTGGGCAGCGTCATGGATGGATGGTCCCGGGCCTCCGCTCAGAAGTCTGTGATTCGGCGCTGGGGTCGGTGGGGGACCGCAGAGCTCTCTATGGATGCCGTTTTATCCCTGGAACGCCCCAAACTCCTCTTGTGTTAAACGCTTGTCGAAAAAGTGAGTTAAATCTCTATCTTTTATAATTCGCGGCCTCAGGACACCATTAGACCCTCTAAGAGCATTCAGTGAACAGATGGTGGCAGGAGGAGCCGCTGAGGCCTTCAGAAAAGACCTAGAATAGGAGAGAGTTCACGGAGTCTCGTGCACAGCAAATAGTCCAGCCGATTTCTAGACGCATTTTGCCTGAACAATGCGTATCTGTAGTGGGTTCCGTCAACCTGTCAAATAAAGGCAGTCCCTTGAGGACAATGAACTCACCAAACGCGGAGTTAGGCTTGCGGGCTTGCGGCTTCTGCTGGCTTCCCTTCCTATGCAAATGTCAGTGAAAAATAATCACATCGGAGGGGGAAAAAAACAAAAAACGAAACCAGCAGCGACAGCCCATGACGCCCAGAAGGGTTGCAGCCGTAGCCCTGTACAGCTTGACGTGAGGCCAGCAGGGCACCCGTCGAGTCTGGCCCCCTCTCGGCTGTGCACACGGTCAGTCCCTGGAGGGTTGTCCTGACTCACCGTGGGGCCAAGGGGCAGAGCAGTGGGTGCAAACGCCCGTGTCCCGGCCTCCCTCGTGCATGGTGCTCACACACCTGCTCCTCCCAGGTGGGGTTCGTGGCCAGGAGGCAGTGCTCCAAGTGGGGTGCCTGGGTGGCTCAGTCAGTTAAGCATCTGACTTTGGCTCAGGTCATGATCTCACGGCTTGTGGGTTCGAGCCCCGCGTCGGGGTTTGTGCTGCCAGCTCAGAGCCTGGAGCCTATTTCAGATTCTGTGTCTCCTTCTCTCTCTGCCCCTCCCCTGCTCACGCTGTCTCTCCCTCTCTATCTTAAAAATAAATAAAACATTGAAAAAAAAAAAGAAGGCGGTGGCCCCAGACTCGCAGAGGAGTCAAATGGCAGAGTGCACTCTTGACTCAGACACTCTCTGTGTGTAGAATCCTCAGGTCATGTCAGCAGAAGGCAGTTATCCACTTATTTGGAGACAAGGGCCAGGAAATCACAGAATAAAGCTCGGCTGGCAGGACGTACATTCATTCATTCAGCAGCAGCTACCCACTGAGCACCGACTGTGTGGTTGGAGACAAGAAGACCCGGCTGCTGCCCTTAGAAAATGTAGCCTCTTGCAGGAGAGGCTCCGCATGTCTGCATGATCTGTAGTTGGAGACAGAATATGCTAGATGCTAGGCCAGCCGGGGCCCAGTGGAGGGAGAGCTCTCCTGGAACAGCAGCGGCAAGGGATCAGCTCCAGAGGCGGAAGTAGCAAAAGCAGGGAGCCTTTCCCCTGCTCTGCTTGACGCGGCCTCATCCCCGGCCTCCGAGAGCTGAGGGCTTCTGCTGAGAATGACTGCAGGCGTTTACAGAGAGGAAGCCCACCCTCCAGGCCTCCTGCCCGGAGATAAAGACATCTGGGTTTTTCAGAATCTGGAAGACTCATTTTGCATTTCCTCTTTTTCTTGGAGTCTGCCGGCGGCTCTGGGACCCCTCCAGGGAGACGGAATCTGGCAGAGCCACCTGCCTCCACTTGCCTCCACTTGCCTCCACCCTTCAGCTGGCCACTGTGGCTCCCGTGGGAGTTCTGGTGGGGACATGGCCTCTCACTCTCTCTGGGGAGCAGGATGGGCACTGTTTCAAGCAAAGGAGTGTGGTTACTTTGTCCTGGGCCCCCCAGACTCTGCCTGGGTCTCTTGCTGCTCTTACCTTTCCCTCTTGCTCTGCTTTGGGGTCCTCTGTGCCGCCCCTCCCCATCTGCATCCTCCCCTGGGTGCTGTGGGGAACCTTCTCTGCAAATGGGTCAAAGCTTTTGCCATGGAGCCAAGGCCAACCCAGCTGGGGAGGGACGGACAGAAGGGCTCCCCCTGGGGGGCGCAGCCATGCTGTGCAGGGAAGTCTGTGGGTCTTTGTTCAGGAGGTAGGAGCATCATCCCAGGAGGAACCTGGTGTGTAAGTCACACACTGGGTACACTCGAGCGCCTCAAGTTGGATGACTAGACTCAAGGCTGTTTGTTCCCGTGGATGACTTTTTTTTTTTTTTTTAAGGTTTATTTATTTTTGAGGGAGGGGACAGGCAGAGAGAGAGGGAGACACTGAATCCGAAGCAGACTCCAGGCTCTGAGCTGTCAGCACAGAGTCCGAGGCGGGGCTCGAACCCACAGACCGCGAGATCATGACCTGAGCCGAAGCCAGACCCTTAAACCGACTGAGCCACCCAGGCGACCCTCCTCTGGACTCCTTGGTTCTGCTTCCTGCGTGGATACTTCACTCTAAATCACAGGGGCCGCTCATAGTTTCTGGGAAGGTGTGGAGAGGAATGAAGGCCTCTAGTGTTTCTTATTTTCCCCACCTGTCCCCCCACTGCCGGGCCCTGTCACCCGCTGCTCTTCCTGGCCCCGGGGAGACTGCCTGGTGGGTTGACATCCCAGTGCGACACCTGGCGGTAGTGAGACTTTCCTCCTTGGCTGGGTCCCTGGGCAGGGCCCTGGCGCCCCTCCCCCACCCCTTCTCCCAGGCTGTTTTCCCTCCAGAACTTTGGAAGAGTGCCTTAAACCTTATGTACTGGTTGTTTCTTTGTAGCTAGTGTTTCCTTCTTCCTCACCCTGTGTTGTGGAGGTTGCACCTGCTCACTTCTATTCTAGAAGGCCCTTGACTTTACACACCCACAAAGGTGGAAAAGTCAATCTTCAAGGGCGGTCCTATAGAAGGGGGCTCCTCTTGGTTTTAGTTTGGATTTCTTCTGGGATCCGGGGGTTAGGGTTATGTTTGGAGGTTTCAACTTTCCTGGTGACACTTAGGTGTGTACCCTTGCCCTCTGTCACTGGGCACTGCAGCCTTCAGCTGCCTTGGTGTTAAGGATGCCTAATGTGACCCTGGGGGAAAGTGAGGCTGGGGGGGTGGGACTTCGAGTCCCTGGAAGAGGGAGCAGTGGGAAACTTTGTGATGCACCTGCGTCAGTGGCTTGCTGACTGATGGGCCCACGGGGCTTCTTTAACCCAAAGGACCAACCTGATGGGTACAGATGCCCCCAGTGTGGTTGTGGCTACAGCTGAGGGTGCAAGGCAGTAAGGGGGCTGTTTTTTTCTATGGCTGGTGTAGATTTTGTAGAGCTGGTGTGCCAGAAAGGGTCCTACCACTTGTGAGGCATTTGGTATCTGTAAGGGGGAGATGTAAGTCACCTGCCTGCCGATGGTATCTCATCAGGACATAATTAATTGGTTCATTTGGGATACGGTTATTACGGTGACCTGACTGCACGTGAGTAGAGGTAAGCCCCCACGGAGTGCTGTTCTGGAGTCCATGGGTCAAGAGACTGTGCCTTGAAACCAGTTGAAGGAGGAACAGTAGAGATACCTGGGGAGTTTTGTTTGCCACCAAAGGCCCGGTTCCCACACCAGTGCCCGGAGTTACCGAGAGCAGGAGGGCCAAGAGCCAATTAGAGCTGGTCCTCAAGGGCCAAGACCCGGCCTGGGCCTGCTCTGCCCCATTTGAGCCTAGACGGCCCGGGTTTCAGCACTGAGAGTCCTCATCCCTGGAAACCCATTCCACTTCTCTGAGCCTTGGCTTCTTTCTGCATAAGGTGGAGACGCTGGACAAAAGGCTGAGACGGCCCTTTGAATTTCTGATATTTTAACCTGACCCCCTCCCCACCTTGTATAATAATTGAACCTCCTTAGCCGCTTCCATCTGTGACTCCGGCCGGCACCTCCTGGTGAGAGGTCACCGTGCATGTGTGGCATTAGACGGACCTCCCATCCCTGACCTAATGGAGGGTCCCGTAGACCTTATGGGCCTGGTGTAGACCTGGGGTCTTCTCCACAGCGAGTAGGGCACGAGCGCAGCATCCCCAGGTTCCTGAGGAAACCGCAGCGAGGACTGCAAACAGCGGTAAAGGATGAGGAGCGCTTCTCTGTTCCATCTCGCCGGTAACCAGGAACCCCCTGGGCTTGAACGGCTCTAACAAGCAAGTGAGGCTTCGTGCTTCAGTTCAAGGCCACGGGAGGTGGGCAGGGACGTGTCACAGGCCACGCCAGCCTCATTTCTCTGAGTGCCCTCAGAAGGGTGGCTGGCTTTTGTAAGCGGCAGTGACTGGAACGAGCCACGTGTCACAGAGCAGAAGCATTTCTGCTGTTAAAGGGGTAAAGGCTTTGAGTAAAATAACTGCCAGCTGCCTTTTGACCCATCTTCTAGAAAACGTGAGACTATGTGGGACTCCAGGAGGGCTTTCTCCCAGAGCCCTGGAGCTGTGCTAGGGTGTATGCCAGATTCCCATACAGCCAGATAAGACACGTGCATGGCTGAGCTCCGACGATGGCCCGTTGTTCCCTAGGCCGCCAAAGATCGGGGTTCGCTCTTAGACCATTTGGCCCATTGTAACCAGAAAGAGACCACCTGCCTCCCATCTTCTGATGGTTTTCAGAGCTTTGGGGTCTTTCCCCCGCGATTCATGCATCTCAGTTCCGGGCCACGCAAGTCCGCGATGTAAGAGGCCCCATGGCCCGGAGAGCCCTGCATTTCCTAGCGGCATGCCTACATTTTCTTTGTCCACTCCACAGTGTTTGGGTGCTGGCTCGGGGCCCAGCACTTGGTCGCCCCTGATCGTAAGCGCTGCAGAGCTCTCTGGAGAATTCCCCAAACCAGCAGAGCATGGCTGTCCCTTCCTTGAGAGTGTCGGCACAAGGTGTGAGCGGGCCTGCCTGGGGAGCCTGGGTCCCAGCCTCTGCCTCTGTCTTCCAGGCAGGCCTGGCCTCCCCGGACAACACGGAGCAGCTCATCATCGCCTTGGAGCCCGAGGCGGCCTCCATCTACTGCCGGAAACTGCGGCTGCACCAGATGATTGAGCTGAGCAGCAAGGCCGCGGTCAATGGGTACAGCTCCAGTGACACAGTGGGAGCTGGGTTTGCACAGGGTACCTCCTGCTCTCTCTCTCCCCTCCCTGCGCTCTCCCATCCCAACCCTGCATGTTTGGGGCCTTGATTGTTTAAGGCATTTAAGCGCGGTAATGAAGGACCAAGGTGCTCCCAGTGGGGTCAGCTGTGAGCACCTGTTCTCAGCGCCTCTCCGGGACCTGCTCCGGGGCCCCTTGTGAACCCCCCAGCGGTCACCCCGATTCATCAGCTCCCCACCCAAGGGCCTTGGGCGTGGGGAGGGTGCTTCTCATCAAGAACCCGAAAGCAGCTCCCGGTTTTCCATTTTACTACGCTTTTAATTTTTCTTGTTGATTAACTGATTCTTAATCTAATCCCACTTGGCCTGTTATTAATTCCTCCATTAAGACTGTTGATTTATCGCTGACTCACTCATTGGGGCTGCTTCATGTGTGATGAACTCATTATGTGTCTTTTTTTTTTTTTTTTTTTTTATTTTTTTTTTTTTTACAAATAGTTTATTGTCAAATTAGTTTCTACATAACACTCAGTGCTCATCACTCATTATGTGTCTTAACCGTGAACCTGGAGAGACTTTAAAACACAGATGAGAGGGGCGGAGGCTTCCAGACTCCATGAACGCTGATGTAGCTGTGGGAAGGGGTACCTACCGTCTCGAGCACCCAGGATGGACATTAGGGAACTTTTTCTTTCTAATAGTTACCTGTGTGCCAGTTGGTCACACTCTGGGTCCTAAGAACCATTTTCCCAGGTATCCGGGGCTCTGTGAGTCTGTCCAGGGCCATAGAGTTTGCAGACATCCTAAGTCAGGGTCAGAGCCGCCAGGGTGAGCGAGCTTAGGCACTAATCGGAGTGCTGTGAGTGCCGTTCCCAGATGAGGGCCTCAAGAGCAGAAAGCCACCCATCACCCATGCCCGCCCATCCTGCCCTGGATGGCCGGGGAGGAGGAGAGGGAGGAGGTTAGCTGGAACTGGGGCCCATCGCTCCGCCAACAGCCTGGTTCCAAGTTTTCCTTGGTCCCCACACCTGAAGCCTGTCTCTGCGCTGCCCAAGGCTCCAGGGCCCTGGCTCAGCCTTTACAGGTGGGCATTCCTGCCCAGACGGCCCTGGGTCCTCTTCCTCTTCACGGGGGCCACTCTGCCCCCGAGACCACCACTCTGCATTTTCAACCCAAGATGGAGGAAAGTCTTTGAACCTCAGCCACGAGATAATGGCCATGTGTTCACTTCGTCCCCACGCCGCTGTCTCAAGCTGCCAGGGCTAAGTGCTAGCACCTCACCTGATTCCCTGGGGACACAAGCCAGCAGGCTGTCCTTCAGCTCTGAGGGCTTGATTTGATCTTTTTTTTTTTTTAATTTTTAAAAATCTTTATTTCTGAGAGACAGAGAGACAGAGTGTGAACGGGGGAGGAACAGGGGGAGACATAGAATTGGAAGCAGGCTCCAGACTCTGAGCTGTCAGCACAGAGCCTGACGCGGGCCTCAAACTCACAAACCGCAAGTTCATGACCTGAGCCGAAGTCGGATGCTTAACCGACTGAGCCACCCAGGCGCCCCTTGATTTGCTTTTTTTGAGCAACGCTCAGCCACCGCCGAAGTCTTCCAAGGCTGGCCTTACTGCTAACTACGTCAAAGGTGTCAACATTTTAAATACTGGGAACAACCTATTAAATTTTCATCTTCACCATTTTAATTGGAACAGAGACGCATGACTGACTAGACTTCGTATCTTACGTGCTACTTCCTACTGGTTCATACACAGAAATTCATGTCAGAATTAGCTAACTGTAGGGTCGCTCTTCTTATTGCCTCCTAAGTGGGAACACTCGCATTTGAAGGGGAAGCTGGTTTTGAAGGCTGGCCTTCCCCGAGAGCTCAGCTTTTGGCTTCCTTTCCTTGAACATACCCTGTCTACCCCCACCGGGTCTGTGTCCTGTGCCTTGTGGAATTTGCTCTTGTCTTGTGCTCAGAGGGTCTTTTTGGTCTTTGAAATTCTCAAATTGTTGGCCACTGCCCCTCAGAGGGCCAGTGATGTAGGGTCCTGTCTCAGCCTTCTTTTACGTTTGGCCTCTCCCCCAGGAGGAAGGGGTCCTGCTGGGGAGGCAGAGCACATAATCAGGAGTACCCTGGATGGCATTAAGGCCCTAAGCCCCTTCTGGGCTGTTCTCTGCCCTCTGATGCTCCTTTGTAATGGACCCCAGTGGACCGACTGAGGGGAACATGGCTGCCACTCTGCCTCCAGCACCACAGGGGGTGCTGTTAGCATTATTTTATACCAAAAGGATTTCATGAGATCAGTAAAGGATATATTTTCCTTAATGTTGGGCTTAATTTGCCCACAAGTGTGATAATTTTTTTGAGAGCTTATGTTTTATTAGTCTTGTTTGGTCATTTTTTATGAACGCCATTGGTTAGCCATCTAGATTGTTTTAGCAGACCAAATGCCCCCAACAAGGTCTGCAGTAGAAGTTCATGGGGAGCCAGTGCTGGGAACAGGAGAGAAGCCCTGAGTTTGGGATCCCTCCCAGGTCTTCAGAGACTCTTTAATCCAAAGGGCCTCACCACTATACCCCAGGACCTGCACCAGCTTAGGGACTAGAAAAATTGGTTAGGGGGCAAGGTGGCCGGAGACTTTATCTGTGAAATTGGGGGTTGCTCTAAATTGTTCAATGTAGTGATTGTTTCTTGGGTCCCAGGTCTCACACTTGGTGCTTTGCCTTCCTTACCACCGACTGTGTGCTGGGTGTCACAATGGGTGCTGAGGAAAAATCTGAGAACCAATCCCCGCTCTGCTTGTGAAGAACTTAGGCCAAGTGTTATTATCCCCACTTTATGGATGTGGAAACTGAGGCCCAGAGGGGTTAAGTGATTTGCCCCAAGTCCCAATTTGCCTGTGCCCTGCTGGTTCCCAGCTACCCTCTCACGGCACCTTTACCATCCCCTAACATTCATATGCTGCTTTTTTAGACTTCACCCTAAATTGTGAAATCTCAAAGGCATGAGGGTCCATGGTTCAAGGGTTGATTTTGAGCTGCAAGACGGAGTCGTGGGAACTGCAAGTCCCTTAACCTTGTCTGACCTGGTTTCCTCCTCTGAGCAGAAAGACTATGATTTGTGCCCTGTCTGCCTGTCACAGGCCCCCCGCCTGTGAGAGATGCAGTTACCCCACGCAAGGCGTCACAGCCCCTCAGTGCCCTGAGCCACAGCCACGTTGTTCCCCTGTGTTAGAAAAAAGGCAGCCAGGGCTTTGCTCTGTTCAGATGGGCCACCCTGTGGCTGAAGCACCACCTGGTGGCAGAAGAGCATATTGGCTTCACCGAGGTCTGGAAGTTGGGAAATGGCTTCCAACCGCTCGTTTATCCAGGATCCAGATTAGGAAAACATACCCAACATTCCTTGCAGCAGACAGAGTTCTTGAGGTGAAATTATTTAACCAAGTGCCCTGCAAGCTTCTTGGCAGACAAGTCCCTCCCTGAGACAGCAAAGCCAGGAATCTGGTTGATTTGTTAACCCTTTTCCCCCCAAAATGTCACTGGGCGAAGGGCTTCTCCAGGGTGAGCCTTCAGCAGGGTATGCCAAGGGCCATGCAGTGAACAGACGGAGGCTGGGGAAAATGGTCTGGCTTGTGGTTCCCAGTGTTGTGTTTATGTAATCATTTTGGTCAAGTGTCGCTACACGTTCCCTCCCTAAACCTCATGCTATTGCCCCCACTGACGGTAGACGGCCACCAGCTTTGTCATGCTTTCTTACCTGTCCTTTTCTTTCTGTCGGCCACCAGCTAAGGAACACATACGGCGTAATCGGCAGAGTCGGACCTTTTTGGTGGAGAATGTCATAGGAGAAATCTGGTCCGAGCTGGAGGAAGGTAGCGTCCTTGAACGTCCTTAGCCCTTGCAGGATGTGCTTTGTGCTGCCGGCAAACATGCATTCCTGTCTGTTCCTTTGGCAATTTTGGAAAATGTTCAAAATCATCTGGTTTTAAAGACCACTCTGCCAAGGGGAGCTTTTTTGGGTCTATAATTTTGCATGTTATAAAACCATAAAGACTCTTCAGAAGAAAAGTAGGAAATGGAACTCCCCAGTTCCAGAGTAAGTCTTGAGTTAAACAGCAGGTCATTTGATGGTGCTATAAACGTGGCAGGAAGTTGTCCACTAGTACGAGCCACATCTGTGGCAGCTTTAGTCTGAAAGAGTCACTCCTCTGGGTTCTTTACCATGATGCTCGCCGGCACCCTGGGCAGACACCACTCCGTTCTCTTCAGTCGTGAGTAATTTGCTGTGTGGCTAATTAGCAAAACCATTGTATTAATGAGAGGTGTTTATTTGGGTAAACCAAGTCATCACCCACCAGCTTGTTTCAGGAGGGGGCTGACCAGCGGTCTATGTAAAGGGTGGCTGTTTTTAACCAGGTGACAAGTATGTGGTCGTGGACAGCGGCGGTGGCACCGTAGACCTGACTGTCCATCAGATACGGTTACCGGAGGGACACCTTAAAGAACTGTATAAAGCAACAGGTGAGCCCCTGCGTGGCTGATTTTCTCATTCCTGAGCTGTTTCTCTCATATCCGATTTCTCGCGGTATTTCGTTCTCTTGCTGCTATCGGCATGCGGGATTCTAAACCCGAGGGGGTACCGATGCCCAGATGCTTGTGTGGAGCCGGGGAGCAAAATGTGGTTAAATGTTCTTTAAAACACAAACCACCGTAAGTTGGGTTTTGGGATAAAGTGAGCCTGTTTTAGATCCTTGCCAGGGGAGCTTCTTTCTGAAAGTTCTGGAAGGATGTGATTGTCATCTGATTTGTCACCTGTGTTTTAGTGCCACGCTTAAGCTTTCTAGGGAGGTCTTGGACACCTGCTCTTGGATCAAAGTCGCCAAAGCAGGCAACAGGCCGTCTCCCTTGGTGGGTTGGGACCATAGAATAAGAAATAGATCACAGGGTCTCAGTGGGTCTACTGATTTTCCAGACTCTGTCCCTAGATCTCTTGGGTAGGAATTCCCTGATGCTCCTAGTTAGCCATATGTATCGATTTTATTTAAAATGTAATTGATTTTAACAAGCTTGTTGACCAGTGATTCTGTAGGAGAAAGTTGCTCCACCCTGAATGAGAACTGGAGGGTAAGTAGAAATTCCTAGCTGCTGTCTGTTTGCTAACTGGGTCCAAGTTCGCGCGACTTTGTGTTTCGGAGAAGAATGCAGGGTAGGATGTTTCTCGGAGTCTGAATACGGTTCCTGGCAGTTTTTCACATGGTGGGCTCTCATTCTGTACTTGACTCAGGCGGACCCTATGGATCCTTAGGAGTAGATTATGAATTTGAAAAGCTTCTGTGTAAAATATTTGGAGAGGATTTTATCGAACAATTCAAAATCAAGCGTCCTGCGGCCTGGGTTGACTTAATGATTGCATTTGAGTCTCGTAAAAGGGCGGCTGCCCCAGACCGAACTAACCCGCTGAACATCACCCTGCCCTTCTCCTTCATCGACTACTACAAGAAGTTCCGTGGACACAGTGTGGAGCACGCTTTGAGGAAGAGCAAGTGAGTTGGACTCACCTTTGGCTTAGGCCATTCTGGGGGGTGGGGAGGGATCCTGTTGAGGGGAGGGAGGGTGGGGGGTGTGGATTCTGAGTTCCAGTTTACATACAAGCTCTGTGACCTTGGCCAGGTGACTCAACTTCTCGGTTCCTCAGTTTTTCATCTGGAAAACAGAGATGATAATTCCACTTACCTCAAAGGGTTGTTGTGATGATGCAGTGAGTTCATATGTTAGACATGTAGCACAATGCCTGGGACCTGGAAATTTCTGTTTCTGTGTTAGCTTTTATTATATACTAATATATATATTATTAAATAAAATATATATTTTTCCATAAGCTTTAGGAAGGCAGGGAATTTTGTATCCCCAGTATCCTCAATAGAATCTGGCACAACATAACAGGTGCTCACTACATATATGTTGAACAAAATCCCATGGGGCTCTGAGTCTCTTGACTGCAGGCAAGTGTTTGTAGCTCAGCTTGTTGCCAAACGGACATTTGGAAGCTGAGTGAAAGCTGAATTTCAAAATTAATAGACAAAACTCAGGTTTCTAAAAATCATCATATAGCAGCAAATTTCAAACATTCACGTGCACACTCCCCAAAGTATTTTAAAGCAAATCTGATCATCATGTAATCCATGAATATGTCAGGAGGTATCACTAAGATACATGTAAAGTCATTACCATGATGCTGTATCACGATCACACTTGAAATGAGTCATTCTTCAATATCCTCAAATTTCCAGTTAACATGAAAACTTTTGCAATCGTCTTATGTATTTTTTTCAGTTTGCATTAATATCCAGAAGATGGCTTCCATGGCAGTTCTCTGATAACTAAGTCCTAAGTCCTGCTTAATCTATAGGCTCCCCCTCCTGTTTTTCTTTGTAGCTTATTAGGTGACAAGGCTGACTGTCCCATAGAGTTTCTTCAGCCTGGATTTTTGCCTATCATATACCCACATAATGTGTTTGGTCCCCTGGTATTTTTGACATATTGGCAGAAGGAGCCAGAGATCTGTTCAGGTTCAAGTTTGAGTTTTTGGCAAACCTACCTCATGGGTGCTGGTGCATCAAGTCAGGGGACACATAATGTTTGCTTGTTGCTTCTTTTGTGATGTTAGCAGCTGCAGGGGAGTGTTGCCTGGGTCTGGTGTGTTAAGGGGTAGCCCCTGAGTCTCGTTTGTCATCTAGCCTGTTTCTGGAGAAAGGAACTCTTCTCCTCAATGCTTTGATTGCCCTGAAATACCGTTCATATAGGAAAGACAGGACAAATTCTTGGTTCTTTCCTTTCGGTTATAAATTTTTTGCTAAATATGGTTGACTTCCTAGCATTCTCCTAAGTGACAAGTGCTTTTTTTTCTTTTGTGGGGGCACAATGGGAGTATTATTAAGATTTCACGAATTTAGGCATATTTGATATATTTCGAACCATGGCAATTATGTCCTCAGTGATGGTCAAAATGTCCCATCTTAGCCAGTAGGAGCCTCCTTAAGTTTGCTCCTGAGTCCTGTTGATAACAACATTTTGATCTGACTTCTGGCTCATTTTGTATATCCCCCATCCCAGACCTGCAATTGGCCATTTCTCTAAGTAGCCCAGGTTCCGTTTAGTGGGAAATAAAGTAGATAAGACTGCAGGTCTTCTTGACCTTGGTTGGAACAGGGCCCTAGCCAGACTCTGACTTCTGTCTACTGTGCGCCGCCCCCACCCCCACCCCCAGGCACCAGTCTACCCCCAAGTCCTGCTCCGGTCAGCTCTCCTTCTGGGGAAACTGGCCACAGCCAGCCATGGAGTCCTCGTCCTGTGGCTGAGGCCACAGAAAGATGCCTGGTCAGGGAGACCTGGCAGCATCTAGAATGTGAGGCTAGGAAGCAGCTGGTTTGCTTCAAGGACAGAGATGCCATTTGCTTGGCTTCTTTGAACTCGAGGATGGGTGGGGAACATGCAGTCCCTTGCATTCCTTTAGTGCCAGAAAATTTCCAGTGTTTTCACAGATGTGGTATTGAACTTAATCTTCACAACAACCGCTGTGAGAAAGATGAGATGAGTTGTGTTAGCCTTGATTTCCAGATGAGAGACTAGGGCTCCGAGAAAATGCCATCCAGCTTGCCCCAAAGTCCTGTAGCCTCTGAGTGCTGGAGGCTGTCCTGGAGCTGAGCAGTCCTCCCTCCCTCTCTGGTGCTCTTTCTGTCCCATGCTGTCACACTGGACGTGCTGCGGCTTTGACAGAGAATGGGGCGTCCTGGTAGGATGGGGCTTCTCACTGTCATGTGACGGGTGCCTACAGGGCTAAAGGAAATGCACCTGAGCACACGGGTCTGTGGCCGGAGGCAGCAGCACAGTGGACACACCAGATGAGCCTTCAGTGGACTCGAATCCGGCTACTGCTCAATTATAAAATGTGGTCATTCAAATGAGACAAATCCCTTCATTTCTTTCCCTGTCTTTCACACTAGATCTTGGCTTCCACGATCCCCAGGGAAGCTTGGCCACAACACAAAGCAGTGAGAAATGGAAGGGGCTATGTCTTAGCGTTTGAGCATCTAAGGGTCCGGTTCTAGCAGTTGAAAATATTGCCAAGGACTTTCAAACCCCTTCTGTTCCCTTAGATGTGGCAGCTGTTCTGTCCTGTGAGGGGCCATCTCTGTGCACAGTAGCCTGGGTCTCCCCTATCCACTCACTGCTGCTTTCTCTCTGTGCCACCCCCTTCCCACCCACAGTGTGGACTTTGTGAAGTGGTCCTCTCAAGGGATGCTGAGGATGAGTCCAGATGCCATGAATGCCCTTTTTAAGCCAACCATTGACAGCATCATTGAGCATCTCCGTGAGTATCGGCTGGGGCTCAGCCACTCAGAGGGGCAGAGCCCAACAGGGACTGACTTCTCCTGCGTCACCAGCTAGAGCATGTGAAGTCCAGCCAGCAGGGGGTCTGAGGCTGGGAGCCACAGGTGGGGGCCTGGGCAGGGGCAGGCAGAGCCTGGGCACGTATGTGGGAGGTTGCTGGGCATAGGCTCTCCAGACCCCTCCCCTCAGCTACTGCAAAGCTGCCCAGCGCCTGCCTTCACCTGGGCCTTGAGCTTGGCTTCAGAAGTCAGGGAGCTCGGAGCTCTGCAGGGGTGTTAGCCTGGAGTGACAGGGCCGAGGGAGTGCCCAGTCTTTGCTTTATCGGGATACGGGAGGAGCCATCATCTTTGCTGGGGACCAAAGAAAGGTTTTCTGTAAGGGGGCAAACAGAATCCAGCCCTCAGTGGCCCTCTTTCAGGGACACACAGTAGACTCCCTGGGGACCTTTTTTAGTACCCAGGCTCCCCATTCACTTCACCCCCACCCCACCATACCTACTAAATCAGACTGTCTTTGAAAACCAAAGAATAGGTTTTTTTGTTTTAAATTTTTAAAATTTTTATTTATTTCTGAGAGAGAGAGGGCATAAGTAGGGGAGGAACAAAGAGAGAGGGAGACACAGAATCCGAAGCAGGCTCCAGGCTCCCTGCTGTCAGCACAGAGAGCCTGATGCTGGGCTTGAACTCAGGAACCATGAGATCATGACCTGAGCCAAAGTCGGATGCTTAACCGACTGAGCCACCCAGGCGCCCCCAAAGAACAGTTTTTGTCACAGACTGCCTTGACTTACTTAGCAGGACCACACGTTTGGAGAACGTCAGGAGTATTTATTTATGCCTAACAAATTACTCCTTGAATGGATCACCATCTAGCTGTTAAAATGTTTCCATTTAACAATGGCTTTGGTTTTTATCCCTGAGCATATAGGTATGCAAACCTCCCTGTTTTCTTGAAGACCAGCTCTACAGGGACACCTGGGTGCCTTAGTTGGTTAAGCGTACAACTTCCATTCAGATCACAATCTCATGTGTTGTGGGTTCGAGCCCCACGTCGGGCTCTCTGCTGTCAGCTCAGAGCCTGCCTCAGATCCTCTGTCCCCTCTCTGCCCTGCCCCCACTCACACACTCTCTCTCTCTCTCAAAAATAAACATTAAAAAAAAATGAAGACCAGTTCTACAAAAATTCTGTCCAGCCACCTTAGATGTGTCTTTCCCCTTGGGGCCATGTGGTTTTGTCCGTTTGCCACTTTCTTAGGCCACCAGTCTCCCCGCTGCTGGATTTTGGTGACAGAGCACTGTCCCTTCCTCTTTGCTTTCAGGGGACCTGTTTCAGAAGCCCGAGGTGTCCACTGTCAAGTTCCTCTTCCTGGTGGGAGGCTTTGCGGAGGCGCCCCTGCTTCAGCAGGCAGTGCAGGCTGCCTTCGGGGACAAGTGTCGCATCATCATCCCGCAGGACGTGGGCCTCACCATCCTCAAGGGCGCCGTGCTCTTCGGCCTGGACCCTGCCGTCATCAAGGTGCGCCGGTCGCCCCTTACCTATGGGGTGGGCGTGCTGAACCGCTATGTGGAAGGCAAGCACCCGCCCGAGAAGCTGCTGGTGAAGGACGGCACTCGCTGGTGCACTGATGTCTTTGACAAGTTCATCTCCGCCGACCAGTCGGTGGCCCTGGGGGAGCTGGTCAAGCGTAGCTACACCCCGGCCAAGCCTTCCCAGCTGGTCATCGTCATCAACATCTACAGCTCTGAGCACGACGATGTGAGCTTCATCACCGACCCGGGGGTGAAGAAGTGCGGTACGCTCCGCCTGGATCTCACAGGGACCAGCGGCACAGCCGTGCCCCCCCGGAGGGAGATCCAGACCCTCATGCAGTTTGGGGACACAGAGATCAAGGCCACAGCCATCGATATAGCCACCTCGAAGAGTGTCAAGGTTGGGATTGACTTCTTGAATTACTAACGGACTCTCCTGCCGCTTGCCCTGCCCTTGGACTCTGCTCACCTGCATCTGCTGACCTCAACCCTGACTGTTCTTTCCCTGTCCTTGACCCTCAGCATCACCCGCCTGGATTTCAGCAAGGAAGATGGGAACCACCAGGGCTAGAAATAATTAGGGATTTTCGAGGGCACACTGGAGTCAGAACAAGTGTCAGAAATTGAGATGGAGGTTTGGGAATAAGAAATCTGAGGATCCTGGGAGAGCAACTAGTTTTTGTAGGTACAAAGTGGTGGGACCCCCACCCACCAAGGGAATCGGTCCGTTTCTGCAGCAGTGATTCAGCTAAGCAGGACTCAGGATGCCCTATCGCTGTCTTTCTAGATTGGAAATGAGATCTCTGAGCCAGGAGGAGATTCTTCATCTATTTGAGACGTTTCTTTGCACACTTCCTGGGGGACGGCAGTCAATATAAAGTGCCACCCATCTGCAGCTGATTTCTTGTCATTATCATGTGATTAAATGTGGTGATTCAGCAGGAGCTGGGAGCATTTTCAGCTGGTGGGAGAAGACTGCCCACGCGGGGCACTATTTTAGGTTCTCATGATTTGAATTCTGAATAGGCTCAGTGAGGAGTAACGACAGCCGGCTCATCGACTAGGACTTGAGTTAGTGGGAGAGCAGGCACCTTAACTTTTCCGCAGGTGAATACTTGCTTCAAGGGAAATGGATATTAAGGCACTGCTGACTTATCCCAAATCATATGCTGCGACATCATTCCCTGGATGCCAGATTCTGACTTCTGAACTCCTAAGTAATCCGCATTAACCTTAGTAGGATTCTGGGTCAGGAAAGGAGCCTGTAGAATGCCTTGTTCACATCAGCCATCCCACGAGTCTGGAACAGCCCCTCACCTTGACAGGCGAACGTATTTTAAATTAACTCCCTCTTCACCCTCATCTAACAGAGCGTTTCAGCCACGTAGTCCCACATTTCAGAACGAATACACTGGTGATACCTGGACAGAGAATCTGCACTGTGAAATGTTTCACTGGAATCTTCAGGGTTTTTTTTTTTTTTTTTTAAGTGTATCTCAAAGGAATTCCTAGATCTGTACTTGACGAATTCAGCCAGGTCTTTTTCAAAGCAGATTGTATCTGTGGGTTGTCCTCGTGGTTCCTGGATCCTTTTCCTTTTACAAATGGAAGCTGGGGTTTGGGGAAGGGGGACCAGCATCTGCATTTTCTTTCAGAGGCCACCACAGGGGACTGTGGTCCCGTGGGAGTCTGGCTACTCCTGACTTTAGGTTTTGTTGCAAGCTGAATTACTGACCCTCAGTGCCTACAGTCTTCTAGTTTGGGGCTCCCTTACGGAGAGGGTTTACAAGTGAAGAGCCGGGGTCCCACAGTTTGCCCTTTGTGCACCGGGGCGAAGGCTCCTCCTGGCTTTTAGGGCTCGCAAGAAGGGCCTGTGAGGGAAAAAGGTTGGAAGGAGGCACCCCGAGAACGGCCCCGAGGAACCCCCTGGCTTGTCTGCTGGGACTCATTCTGATTTTAAATCCCTGGAGGCATGCATAATGAATGAACCCAGGATGAGCTGAGGAACTAACTTCAAATGCAAGCTGGATTCACCAACCCCATTATGTCGCCAATATGCAGATTTGACACTGCTTTTCCAATGTCTTTGGAACACATCTCGCTCCCACGGCCTGCCAGCCTGGCCTGCCGCAGAATTCCCTGCTCCAATGTGAAACTCGAACAAAGCACCGAATTAGAGAATGCTGCTCACGTGACTTAGTAGCGGGAGCTCTCGTCCAGGCACAGAGGTGTGTTTGCTGGGCTTCTCTTCTGCCTGCTCTGCTTCAAAAGCTAAATGTTCTGGGTCTTTCTTTGATGTTGCCAGCCATACTCTACAAATAAGACTTTTCAATTTAGTTATAAGTAATATAATTTTATGTACATACAATATTAGAATATTGTACAGAATCTTTATTTCTACAATGTGCTTTTCTTGTTTAAAAAAAAAAGGAAAATGCTCTTTGAATTTTATTGATGACACTGCTGCCTTTTAATTTCCCATGGCTTTATTTTTTAATTGCACTTACTTATCAATCTGTACCGATCCTAAGCTATGGACTGCGTTTGCAAGACCGAGCAATAGTCAGAGGTGCCGAGGGTCAGAATACTCCAGAAAAAGGGACACCATCTGGATGAACGGCTTCGTCAGAACTTGCTCCACTCACATCCTTCCCAAAGGCTCACAGTTTATATTTAAAGGAGCATAATAATGTATCGCTTCCCCTGTCCAGTCTTCGAGAGCTGAACATTCTGGTTCTATAAGCAACATGACTGTGCAGAAAAACCTACGAACACTCTCTGTGTCCCTGCAGGGTTTATCAACTTCTGGTGGGGCAGAGCGGTCACTCTGAGGGCAAAGTGGGGTCCTTGTGCAGTGATGTCAGGATGAGAGGGTTACACAGAAGGAATCAAGTGGTGCACAAATCCAGCCTTTCTGCTGGATTAAGTGTGTAAGTAATTTAGTCAAGTCTTTCTTTTCGGCCATCGTAAGGCCTTCCCACCTTGCATCAGGCATGTCTCCTTGTCTACGACTTCTCTTCAGTGAGTTGGTTGAAATCTGTCTGTTGGCAGATAGGTGGTGGAGAGGGAGGGATACCTTTACTGGAACTTTCTTCTGGCCCCAGAAATGCAGCTCCAATTGTCAACCTCATTAAAGGGAATCCCCAAATCCATTCTCCCTCTCCCTCCTCCCCATGAAATAACATATTCTAGAATAAGAACACTGGCTAAATACACTTGGACACGTTTTCTAATCTTGGAAAGTTTCTAAAAGGCCTGTTGTCTTGACCATCACTCAGTGGTCCCTGGCCATAGTATCTGATCATGTTTTGGAAGCAGAACTGTTGGAGATTTCCTTTATAACTGCCCTTTCTGTACACAGCAGGCATTAATAAATGCTGAATGACAGACGAGTGACAGAAAAGATGGGCAAGAGAGGAGACATACAGGCACTTTTGCAGAGTGATGACTGAGTCCAGATTACAGAGCCTGCCCTACCCCTAGGATGTTATTTAGATCAAGTTTAGCTTCTAGAGTCTAGGTCTGGTTAATTGCCAGGGTGGCAAAGAATCGCATGCATCAATATACACAGGAGTCAAAATGCATAATTAGTTGAAGATCGAATTTCACAGTCGTAGAGATGAAGTAGCTGTGATCGAGCTGCGTGTTTGTGCTGGGAAACGACTTACGGGGGTAACTAGTTTACAAGTCGTTGTCTGTTAGGTCACACCTCTCATCTGCTTGGAATATGGAACTTTATTCTAAAGCGTCAGCCATCGGGGTCTCGTTCACTACAGGATAAATTCACACTCCACAGAACCTTGCAGCTGTCTGAACTTGACGAGATTGTACCTGCAAACTCTGTCTTCACGGATGTCTAATAAAGCCAAATTCTGGATCTCGTGTGGCCCAAGCTTTTGTTTTTTTTTTCACTATGAATTTGTGAATGGAATTATAGCTCCATCATCACGGACTTCCCCCTCCACACCATCTCAGGTGGAGATTGATTTTCAGATCTTTTCCTAAATGTTGCAAGCCTTTTTTTCTTCTTTCTTTTTTTAAATTAACTTCCATTACAAGTAGACTGGCTCCTGTGTTCGCTGGGAGTAGGGCTCCATCCATGTTCACGGGCCCCTACAGAAGGCAGCTGAGCCCCGCCTCTGACACCTCCACCACACCCAAATGAAGGGCTTTGAGAAAGAAGCAGAAGGGTCTAGAACTGGTGCCTTGCGGTCTCCTATCCTAGCAGGCATGCCAAGCTGGTGGCTGTGTCTAGAGCCTCGAGTTTATTCCAGGCTCTGTGTCTGGGTCGCCCTCTAGAGTTGGCTTTAGAAGCTTCTGGAGAGTCTGTGGTGGACTCCTAGGACGCTGAGGCAGGTCCACATGGACCTCAGTGGGCAGCTTTACCAGGCTTCACGTAAAGTTCGCCTCTCAGGACGCAGAGGCAGGGACGGCTGGGAGATGCAGTAAAGCACACCAGCCTCTTGGAAAGCCTTGTGTTCAGGTGGCCAGGGCTGGGTTTTCTCACGCAGTCTGTAAAGCCCGTCATTCCCTCCGCCTGGCTCACACAGTGGGCATGTTGGTGTCCATCCAATGAGATGAAGGCTCAGGCCCCCTTTAGCTCCCATGAAATGAGGGCGATTAGAAAGGAGTTTGGCCCTACTTCGTGTCACAGCCCCACCTTCTCTGCAGTGGATTTCCCCTTTCTGCAGCCTTGCCTGCCCCAGGGTAGGGAAATCTCCACCCCCAGAGGCTTCTCCTTCCCTCCCGGCTGCTTCCCGCCCCCTGCCAGCCCCTAACACAGGCCCTGACTCCCGGAGGAAGTCCCCACTGGGACCTCCGGACCCCAACCCAGATAGTCCCACTGTCTATAGCAGAAAAGGCGGCTTTGACCTAGATCCCCACACACAGCGCTCTCCCCAGTTCCAAAACCCAGAGGGGCTCAGCGGGGGAGGGGGAGGAGGGGAGGCCATGTACTGAGAATGAGAAAGGAGAACAGCTTTAGAGGCCAAATATTTGTTGGGCCAATCCCTGGATTTCATGGGGGATGCTGACGCTGAGCCAGGAGCCGGGGTGGGGAGGCGCAGCCGCATCTACATCTACTCGTGTTCATCTGCACCTGGCCTGTGGGGAGAGGTGAAGTCAAGGGCAGGAGAGTTGAGCGAGGGGGAGGGGCAGCCGGGGTCCGGCCCCTCCTTCTTCCGGGGGTGAGCGCACAAAGGCCGGCGGGAAGGCGGAGGCCCGGAGGGCTGCTGGCCTGTGGAGGTCTAAGCCCACCGGAGTGAGGATGTGGGAGTGGCCGGGGAGAGGGAGTAGGGGGCTGTGACCTCGCTTTCGGACCCCTTCCCGGGCGCCCATCCCCGGTTACCTCCTCTCCACGTTCCTCCTCTGGGATTTCGCTGCTCAGAGGAACCGCCCAGGCCACCACTCACCTGCGCCAGGTGCCGCCCATACGCCAGGGCCGCGCTTTTGGGTAACAGTTATGTTATATACGCGCCCTCAGAGTGTAGATGTCCGTTCAGACCTCCTTGGGCGGGAGAACCCGCAGACAGGTTACTTAGCTTCTTGGCCTTCATTTTTCTCCTCTATCAATGGGGGGCTCAAGTGGGAACTAACCCTTAGGGCGGCGAAGACGATTCACCAAGAATATAGTCCTGGGTGGGCTGTGTCACAGCAAGTGTTCTGTCAATGTCTGAGTGTGTTTAAAATTCCCATCGCTGCTGACTAAACCCTGACTGTAGCCCCCCTCCGCCCCCAAGACCACCTGTCCTGGTGGCCAGGGCACCACTTGTGAGAGATGAGCTGGCTTGGCCTTGTAACCAGGTGCCCAGATACAGGCCCTGTCCCAGTGGAGGGGACCCAGCCCATCCCAGAAGAAGGGAGGGGTCTGTTTGGGGAGGCAGCATCCCATAAACATGCTGCGGCCATACGCCCCCCCACCCCTCACCCATCTTGGACTCTATGCCAACCTTTGGGGACTTCCGAGCCCTTCCAGCTGGAACTGACTCTAATTCTTCGTTGTTTAGCAGCATCCTTGGCCTCTAACTCACTAGATACCAGCAGCACCTCGTACCCCAGTTGTGACAACCAAAAATGTCTTCAGACATTTGGTGGTGGGGGACAGCAGAAATCAGCACTGCAACCTTTTCCACCTGGAAAAAGAAAGGCTCTGGGGCTAGGGGTACTTCTTCTCTTCCCTTGTGTGAGGTTCAGGAGCTTCACGTGGGGGCCTCTGGATCTTGCTCATCTTTATATTTCTATCCTCATGACAGGTGTTGGCCACAGTGAGTATACAGTTCATGATTGCTGGATGGATGGATGGATGGATGGATGGATAGGAAGAAGGTTGGGTGGACGGAGGAGGCCCCAGGAGGGGAGACCCTGAGGGGGGTGCTCTACACACACTCTATCTAAGTTCATGTAAAAGGTGAAATTAGAGCATTGGTTTTATCTGCTGGTTCTGTGTTAAGATGGCAGTGCTGCCTCTCTTTCCCAACCCCCTGGCAGGGTCATTCCACTCCCAGGGACTCTAGCACACATGCGTACAGTGCGTTCTTGAGACAGGGACATTTGATTAGACAATTTCATTCCCTCTCCCCTTCATCAACAGACAGTGAAATCATGGAGTCTTCCAAGACCTTCATGAGACACCTGCCGGTCACACCAGGCTACAGCGGTAAGTGGTGACGTGCCCTGCCGATGTGCTCTGGTCCTGGTCACTGTCCCTGTGTTGGTCCACTGTCCGTGTCTTTCTGGCCAGTTGGGCCAGTACAGACACTTTAGTTTCTTTAGGACACTTGCGGAAAGCACTCCTTTGCTGAAGACGGCTGATAACTGGGCTCTGATGAATGGAGAGATATAACTTAGGCCAGATCTCCCAGGACGTGGCCTGGTGTGCAGGAAGCACGGAATGTCCCTTGAGTGCGTTTGGGCCAGGATAGACACAATGCTGTGGGGACAGACACAATGAATAAGCTGAGACCCTGTCATTTTTCCCAAGTAGACGTTCTCAACTCTTGCACAAGGACTGTTCTTATGGTCCCATTCCTTCTGCACCCCCCAGAGGAAGAGTGGGCAAGTGCCCTGGTTTGTCTGGAATGGCCCTGGTTTTAGCACTGAAAGTCCTGTGTCCCATGAAGCCCCTAAGTCCTTGGCAAACAGGGACAGTTGGTCATTCTACCTAAAGGTGCTCCTCCTCAGGCTTCTGGGCCATCAGGAACTTACTAAGTCATGTCCCTGTGACAAATGCAGTGGTCCTCATAGGCTCCCAGCTCTCACAGATAGGTGTTCTTAGGAGAGGAGGTGCAGGGCGGGTATTCAAGGCTGCCGGGCCTCACCCCTTAGCCCACTGGCTGGTTTAGGGAACAGGCTTTGAATTCTAACAAACTGAGGTTTCAGCCCCTGTGTGGCCACTGCGTGTATGATTTACTTTCTGTGGTAAGTATAAGTGCCTACTAAATGGGTGTATTAGTTTCTTAGAGCTCTGTTTATTCTTTTTTTAAAAATGTTTAATATTTATATTTTGAGAGAGAGAGGGAGAGGGAGGATGAGTGGGAGAGAGGGCGAGAGAGAAGGAGACACAGAGTCTGAGGCAGGCTCCAGGCTTTGAGCTGTCAGCACAGAGCCCAGTGTGGGGCCCGACCTCATGAACCACTAGATCATGACCTGAGCCAAAGTCGGACGCTCAACCGACTGAGCCCCCCGGGCGCCCCCTCTTAGGGCTCTGTTTAAGACAACAGATATTTGTTCTCTCACAGCTCTGGAGGCTAGCCTGCTGAAATCCAGGTTTGGTTGGGCCATGCTCTCTCTGAAGCCTGCAGAGGAGGGTGCTTCTTCACTTCCGGTTTCTGGTGGCCTCGTCTGTCTCTTCGCTTGTAGCTCAGCCCCAATCTTGGCCTCCATCTTCACACTGCCCTGCATCTCGGTGTCTCTTTCTCAACCTCCCTTTCCCTTCTCTTATAATGGAGTGCTTTCGACAAGTATCCTCAGAAGCTAAAGGATGCTTTAGCTTTTGACAAGTAGCCTCTACTGGCCTAGTCAGCTGGCCAGACATAGACAGCGGACTAAGACAGAGATGGTTGGATTTAGGGCCCCATCCTTGGCCAAGGACAGTCTCATTTTCCAAAACTTCATGACGGCTACAAAGACCGTATTGCCAGATAAGGTCCCATTTGCAGGTCCCAGGGACTAGACTTGGACATAGCTATTTGGGAGACACAGTTCTACACAGGATAATGACGGATATCTCACCCGGTTGTTGTGAGAAGGAAGGAGCCAGCACACGCAAGCTATTTAAGATGTCCTGGCCCTTAGCAAGACTCAGCGAGGGTAGCTTGTGGCCTCCCGTGTGTGTGCACATACACAAGCACATAAAATCCCTGCAGGGCAGGGGAGGACCTGGTCGCAGGGCCCCTCAGTTTCTATGGTCCCCCCTCCCCACCACACTGGGGTATCTTTGAATTGCCAGGGTTGGGGACACTAACTAGTAGGTGGAGAACTTCATCAGTTTAGAAATTAGATTCTTCCAGAAACAGCTTCTCACATGGTGTGGGAGGCAGGAGTTCTGCTTTTAACTCTGCGGTCAGGTTTTCTTTAGGGACAAAGGCAAAATGTCCGGGCTTCAGGAACGAGTGAGTGGTATTTATTTCTTTATCTCTCTAGCCATTTAAAACCAAATTCTTAGCCAGTTTTCCCTCATCCATTCTTTAAAAAAGAGAGAGAGAGTTTTATTGTGACAATATTATAGTCCCTAGGATTCAGCATCTAGTTTAAATAAATACTTGTGTTTTACCCATACTAATAGTAATGATTACATGTTATTTTGTGGGAAATGGCGAAAAATTGTTCTAGGGGGTGGACCTCCTAGATAATGAATTTACCTTTTTGTGTGTGTGTAATAGGTCTCAGCTTTTAATAAGCCCACAATTTCCCCCGATGGTCCGACAAAAAAAGATCCCAAATTGCATTTGGGACGTGTCAAGGAAAATAAGCTTTCTCTCTAAAAAGATGAAATAATTTCAATTACTCCTCAGACTATCATTTTGGCCCATTAAATGCTTTCCCCATTTGCTGTTCAGACTGACATCGGGGGCCTTGCTATCAAAGAATATTACTGCCATCGTCTTTGTAGAAATGGGCCTTCCCTCCCCAGCTCCGAGGTCATTTTTTTTTTTTTTGTGGCCTTGGGAGGGCCCAGCGCAGCGCAAACAACAGCCCCACTTGTGTTAATGGCCTTTGGGAAAATGCAGTGTCATTGGCCAAGGGAGGACTGCCACCCAGGGGGTGGGGGAGGGTGGGGAGGAGGCTGAGGTTCTGGGGAGTTTCTGCAGGTTCTGATCGCCTTGCTGAAGGCTGTGATTCGTGGGCTCTTGCAGGCTTCGTGCCCTACCTTAGCTGCCAGGGCTCCACCGGCAAGGACGACGTGTCCCAGTGCTTGAGAACCTTCCAGGAGAGCACACAGCTATATAAAAACCAGCTGGAGGAATTTCGGTGCTCGGTGGCCACTTCCCGTAAACTGAAACCCATCTGCTCCGAAGAGACGGTCCTGCGGGCGCTGCACCAGTACTGCCGGCAGTACCACCCCCTAACTTTGGGTAGCGGCTCCTGGAAACCAGCCCCCTCACCCCCTGGGCACAAGGGCAGGGTCCGGCAGGGCCCCTGGGCCGCCACGGGTTGGGGGGGGGCATGGAATCCAGCACCCGTTCCAAATCCCCAGGCAGTGGTGCGGGATGGAAAGGCTTGGCCCCCGAAGATAAGAAAGAAACATTTCTCGGGGGGGAGAGGGACATGGTCCTGGTCAGGCAAGAAGGTGCTGGGAACTGAGACCCCTGGCAAGTCACCACGAATGTTCGGGCCTTACCTACCCTCTCAGTTTTAGTTGCCTTCTCTGTGCGGGGCACTATTATTTCATGAATGGCAGTGCTATGACTCTGATGCTATTATTCCCATTTTATTTTATTTTTAAAAATTTTTAATGTTTATTTTTGAGAGAGACAGAACGTGAGCAGAGGAAGGCAGAGAGAGAGTGGGGGACACAGAATCCAAAGCAGGCTCCAGGCTCCAAGCTGTCAGCACAGAACCTGATGTGGGGCTCAAACCCACGAACCGCGAGATCATGACTTGAGCTGAAGTTTGGCGCTTAACCGACTGAGCCACCCAGGCGCCCCTATTATTCCCATTTTAGAGCTGAGGGAATTGAGTCTGCGGAGGTGGTGGTGACCCTTGTCTGAGGTCAGACCTCGGTTCGAACCCAGCTCTTGCAGGTACTAGCTGGGTAGGAAGGGGTTGGCCTGGAGGAACAACCACAAAGACGGAAACAACTGATGGTGCGGTTATGTAATGCTAATCACAGCGATGATTTGCCCTAGACCATGTTTAAGGTCTGAAAGCCTAGAGGAAACGTAACGGACTCCAGCATTGCCTTTCTTATTGTTACTCTGGTTGTGTGGGGCGGCTGACTCACATGTTGCTTGTGCTTTCCAGTTGTCCAAGCCATAACGAAGAGCATCTGCCTTTGGAGTTTAGGCTTTAGCCCGGTTCTGTGACTGTTCGCTGAGTGACGTAGGATACATTGCTTCCCCTCTCTGGACTCCAGTTCCTTCATCCAGTGCAGGGAAGGATGGACTAGATTCTCCCTGCGGTGCGTTCAGCTCTGAGGTTCTGGAACTCTGTGGCCTAATTCTATTCTGACAGCAGCCAAAAGAGGCAGGCGGGCCGTTCTCTTTCATCTCACAAACGCGAAGTGGCCCAGGGTCAGTCAGCCAGAGTCGTTTGTGACCTGAAGGCAGGTTCCTGGTGCTCAGCCTGACGTGCTCCCTTCTAACCTGGTTGCTTTTCCTGATTCCTTTACGTAAACTGCAAAAGAGCGATGTGGGAGCAGGGTCTGTTGAAGAGAAAAAAACTAGAGAATCAGACCGACGCAGGTTTGAAGCCTGGCCCTACCACTTCCTTGCCGTGTGACCTTGGCCAAAACGCTCTTGACTTCTTTAAGGTCTGTGTCTCCTCCTGTAAGGTGTAGGTGATGATGCTCTCAACTTCTTACAGTTCGTGAGAGAATGAAATGAGGCGGTATTTGCAAAGCCCCTACCAGGGTCCCTGGTACACAGTCTCAGCCAAGCCGCGAGAGCTGCGCTTCGGGCATCTGGGGGCCTCGGGGCTCGCCGGGGTAGCTGCTGGGGTGCCAGCTCGCTGTGTGGCTTCCCAAAGCCCTCAGGAAGCACGGTATCTTTACAGAATGCAAACGCATAAAGAAACCTCTCCGGGAGCCCCCGATCCCTGGCTGGGCCGGCTACCTCCCCAGGGCCAGGGTCACTGAATTAGGCTGCGCCACACGGTACACCGTCATGGCCAGAAACTGCTACAGAGACTTCCTAGACATCATGGAGCAGGCCAGGAAGGCTCACCTGAAGCCGTACGAGGAGTAAGTCGGGCTTGCGGCGTAGCCACAGGCGACAGGAACCAGGGAGAGAGCAGATGTTGGGGTGGGAGCTTCCCGGATGCCCCACCCCAGCTCTAGGGGTCCTTTTACATTTGATTTATTTTATGGAAGGGGGTCTCGTTTATAACTGGGGCCTTCAAGGCGGGCAGCTCCCCTCCACTCCTCACCCCACCCAGCATTCTTCAGAAGCCTTGCGTTTGGTCTTGGCTAGTTTGTAGGGGAGAGGCTGGGAGGGCCACATGTCCTGGCAGCAACCTAAGGCCCCAAGGACCGAGGGAGGGATGTGGTGTGGACACGTAGGGCAGCTCTTTGGCCTCGGTTTTCCCTTCTGCAAAATGGAGATTCAATAATCCTTTCATTTTAGGATAAATGTAAGGATTAGAAAGAAACATGCTCTGCTCACATAGGACTTGCAGAGATTATATTTCTTCTTTTTATTATTAAAAAAAAAAAAAGGAGTAAGTCTATGACTTTTGTTCTTTAGAATATATGGAGTCGGGTCCACACAGCCTTCTTCTGCTCCTTCTCCAAAGGTTTTGCAGCACGAAGGGCTGCTGCTGAAATATCCGGAGTTTTCTATCCCAGGTAAGGGAGTCCTCCTTCTTGCCTTCCCAGTACTTTTAAGAAGGGGATGAAATGTTGGCAAGAGCCTCGCTGCTTAGCTGGGCCATCTGCCTGCAACCAGTTGGGATGGTTTCTCTTTCAGGTGGTAGCTATCCTGCCCACGGAAGACCCCCGACCGAGGACCCCAGACCTCCAGTGACGTGTGGCTGTGCCCAGAGATCAAGTATGTCCTACAACGGCAAGATTTATCTAGAGCCACTGTCCTCAGCAAAGTATGCAGAAAGCTGATGCAGACAGCCTCTCAAGGAGAGGGGAGACTCAAAAGCTCACCATTCTTACATGAGAACCAGGTCCTGACCCACACCCAACAGGCACTAGGGAACTTTCAAAACCTAAGAATCCTTCCGACTGCCACCTGCACCCTGTTCGGCCATAAGATGTCATTAATGACAAAGACCTTTTGTTGTTGTGTGGGAATAAAGAGGTTGCTTCTCAGCACACTGAAGGTTTCCATGGGGACGGGGGTTGCAGGTCATGCTGCCATTAAGAAAATCCAGGGAGAGAGGCCCATCTCTTCCTTACCTTGAGGGAACTGTGTGCACCTGGATCAGACTCTTCCTGAAGCCCTAGCCCAGCCCTCTAACCATCAATCCCCATCAGCCATCTTGGGTCCCAGTATGGCAGTTCCCACTGGTGGGACAGATGCCATGCCCACCAACCCCAGTGTCTCAAATCCCAGTCCCCAGGAGACCCCGACTGGCAGACACGAGAGTATTTGTCTCCTAGGGCTGCCGGAACACTACCTCAGACAGGTACCATGAGGCAACAGAAGTTTATTGCCTCCCAGTTCTGGAAGCTAGAAATCCAAATTCAAGGTGTTAATAGGACCATGCTTCCTCTGCAGCCTTAAGGGAGAATCCTTCCTTGCCTCTTCCCAGCTCCTGGTGGTTTGCTGGCAATCCTTGGCCTTCCTTGGTACGTAACTATAATCTCTGTCTTTATGGTCACACAGTGTCCCTCTGCGTCTCTGTGTCTTCACACAGCAGTCTTCTTGAAGGACACCTACAATGAGCCTATTTCCAAATAAGTCATAGTCTGGGGTGCTGGGGGTTAGGACTTTGATGTATCGTTTTGCGGGGACACAGTTCAACCCACAGCACTGGCTTACCTCCTGCTGCCACGAACAGGCACTCTCTCTGACCTCGTTTGGCAGCCACTGGCTCTCAGAAGGCATCAAATGCAGCTCCTGGAGCAGCGAGACCAGGAGGCATCAAAAGGTCAGAAACAGGCAGAGCCAAAAGACACAGTACTCTGCCCCGGGTGGGAATTTTCACCAGGGTTCCCCGGGCAGAAATCGGGGGTCAGATCTTTACCTCTGATGAGCATAAAGAGCTTTGATGAGAAAAAAGTTACACATTTGTTTTTATGAGCCTCCAGGTGTGATTTAGTATTCCCTTCATGTATGCAACAAGCTGTAGTCACACCTATCCCTTCATCCTAATGGAAGCCACAGATCTGTACATATCATCTGACATTTGTTGCAAACAGCTTAAAATAATGGTAGTGCTGATCACTGCTTTATCATTATGTAGTTATTCAAGCTACTATATCTACCCTCTATATATTGTTATTCAATCTATATATAAAGAAACATATGGTTAGTTCACAAATTTGTCCTGTTTAATGTTTTGGTCATATTTCACATAATTTCATGTATTTTACTTTCTGCATTTTAAAGCACTGTGAAAAGACACTCACAGCTTTCACTGGCCAGCCAGAGGGGCCCTGGCGCAGAAATTTTTCCTAGTCCAGGGAAACAACCAAGGATGTGTGTACAGGGTGATTGTCATATAAAACAAAACAACAACCCAAACCTCATAAGACTCAGGGTTACAGTATATCCCATTATTAAAAAATAATGTGATAGAAAAGTATTGTTATAGACAAATATTTATAATACAGGACATGAAAAACAGGCCATAAAACTGTATAATAACAGTGACCCCACGTATACACACACAAATGCATGTGTGCGCGTCCATGCGCGCGTGCGCGCGCGCGCACACACACACACACACACACACAAATCTTGTTTTTTATTTAAAAAACAGTTGGGGGAGTGGAGAGGACACTAACCCATAATGCTTCCAATGGTTATTTGGATGATGATATATCACTAGTTATTTTTATTGTGTGCATGCCTTCTAGTTTTTCACAGCCAACAGGTATTGTTTTCATAATCAGGACAAAAATGTTATTTTTAAAAATCTTAGCTGTTTTAATCTTCTGGGGATTGTATGTGTAGAGGAAAAAAGCCACATCTCAGTAGAAGGTACCTGGCCTCTTGTTCAAAGGGCTGGAAGAGAATATAGACAAGATTTTTTTCCAACTTTCTTAAAACCCTGGGGCCCCACCATCCAGAAAGGAAAATGGGAGATAGATCTGCCTCCTACCTAGGGCAGGTGGCCCAGCCTGACGCACCTCTGCGGCACTCAGAAATGAGTGATACCGAAGAGGTATCTTTTTGGTTGCCAAACTCACAGAATTTGCAGAGTTTGCTCTGGACTCAAGGTTATTTAGCTCTTTGCCCGTGAGATCAAGGGGTGCCAGGATTGAAATGATTCCTTGCAAAGATCACTCGTTTTGATCTTATCCATGACAAGAGTATTTAAGTCACTGACTAATTCATTTGATACCACCTTTAAAAATTGCCTTGGACTGTAAAATGAAAGCAAAAAACAACCCAGTGACAGAGGTAACAGACTTGAATAAAGGCAATCAAGAATTGTTTCATAGTATCTAATTCTTCTCCAACTTCGTGATTCAGATCAACCAAGTTCAATGTGCAAATCTGTAACTCCTTTTGTAGAAGCAGTTCCGCACTGCAATTCTTTTCCTTAATCTTTGTCCTTGCTGTTTCTCCCTAGCCTATAATTTCTGGAGCGTCGTCTGTCGGGGGAGGTAGGGAGGTGATTTTACTGCACAGCAAATTATCATAATTAGCACAAGCTGCATCCGTAATGAGCTCATTCTTGCCACTAAAAACAATTCCATTACCTGATAAGACAAATTTTTCTGGGTCTGAAGACACTAAAGAAACTGAGCGAGAGGGTTTGCACTGTTGCTTGGAACAACGGGGGCCTTTTGTCGGGAGAGTTTGGCTTCTTGAGCGTTAAAGTGCTCCTTTGTGGTCACTTCTTTATCTCCCCGTGTGAGAATCCCCCCAGGGGCCAGGTACTGGGAGGGGGTGGCCAGGTTTCTTGGTCTCACTCCCCATCCCAGAGGGGTGACAGGCTGGCTCTAAACAGGATCTCAATCACAGCTTTGACTTTGCTCCAGCACAGCCATGAGGCCTGTGGCCAGGAGGCATAGCTCAACTCTTTTGTTTTGTTTTGTTTTGTTTTGTTTTGTTTTGTTTTGTTTTGTTTTTTTCTGACTGTGTGACTCTGGATTCTTTCCTTAACCTCTCTGAGCCTCAAAGTCCTACTTTGTAAAATGAAGGCAACAAAACAGCTCACTCAGTAGCATGATTGGTTATGAAGATGAAGAGATTAGGCGGGTAAATCTGGTCCACACGTGCTCAGTCAATATTGTTATTGTCAATTACCATTGAGGTAAAAGGGCCTGGGACCGTTGCTGACATAGGCTGGGAGTGGGGGTGTTATGTCTTGGAGCCCACACAGAGAATTATTCATAGAAAACGGTTCAGAACCCGGGCTCCTGGCCACTAATAATAAAATGTTCTCCACTGCTGTACATTTCTTCCAGGAATTCTACCCCAGGAGGTAGGCGGAACACGCACGATTGGCCAATAATAAAAAACAGAAGCGGCTGCTAATGTCCCTCCTTATGTCCGGCTCTTCCTACGCCCTTTGCCTGGAATAGCTTATTTAAGTAGTAGTATTATAAACCTTTTCCTCTTGCAGTTTATTCATCTGCTGCTCAGGGTCACACAGACGATAAATGGCAGAGCCAGAACTTGAACCCAGGCAGCCCGAGGCCAGAGTCTGCACACCTCACCTTCAAGCCCCACTGGTACGTCCTCTGCAGCAGCATTGTCACCGTAACACAAACCACCGCTAAATGAGCCGTGGTGTCAACATCGGATCGATTCAGAAAGAAAAGAGACGGGTATAAACGAGACACCCAGAAGTGTAATAATGTGATAGAGCCAGTATACTGCGGTTCAGGATGTTGAGAGCTAGGCTCTGGGGCGGGGGGGGGCGGGGCGGGGGGGGGGGGGGGGGGCATGTGACTGCTGGGTGATCTGGAGTGAGGAACTCAACCACTCCCAGCCTCAGTGTTCTGTTATAAAGTGACACTTCCTTCTTCACGAGGTTGAGAGGGTTAAATCAGATCATGCACACAAAAGGCATGGCATTTTGGTGGCGCAAGGCTGATGGGCGAACCTTGGCCAAGCTAAAGACTCTAGAAAAGAAAAACAACAACAAATCAGGGCCCCTGGGTGGCTCAGTCTGTTAGGTGCCTGGCGCTTGCTTGCTCAGGTTATGATCTCACAGTTCGTGAGTTCCAGCCCCGAGTCAGGCTCTGAGCTGACAGTGCAGAGCCTCCGTGGCATTCTCTCTCTCTCTGCCCCTCCCCTGCTCTCTCTCTTTCTCAAAATAAATAAACTTAAAAAAAAAAAAAAGAAAGGAAAAACACCAAAAAGGCAGAAGTTAAAAGATTTAATTGAGACCAGAGACTGGAGGCCCTCATCTGCCTGCCCTGTTTTCAGTCTTGCTCATCAGCACCCCTTCCACCCCACGAGTTTCAAGAGCTGGGGTCTTAGCTCATTTCCCAGAAGGCCTCTAAGTTCCTCAAGCAAATTACCGCCAGCCCCCCGCCCCCCAGCCTCTTCCCTAACAAATTCCGTGACGTTTCCCCTGGTGCCCAGCCCAGCCCAGCCCAGCACTCCACAAGAGCTGTCATTAGGTGGCCGGACCCCGCAGCCAGAGTCCCCATCTGCCCCCTCCTTGAAAGCCTCTTTGGTTTTGTTTGTTTGTTTGTTTGTTTGTTTGTTTCAGCTGATGGGGGTGGACTTGGCGGAGAGAATGGGGTATACCAGCCTCCATCAGTCTTACAAAAGTAGGCCTCCCCAAAGGAGGCTAATGTGTCCCCAATAACAGCCCATGTTCGTATTTGGACTCAAACCAGATTTGTTTGGATTCTCCAAAGGCTGAGAGAGAACGTGTACCCCTACCTTTCCCGACCAGCCTGGGTACCATCAGGAAGGGTCACCAGGCATTCCGTGGCCTGAAGGAGCCAAACACCCAGCCCCAAGGTCCTTTAGGCCTCGTTTCTGGTATGCACGCTCCTGAAGGTCATGCCAAGGGCAACTCTCGCCAGGCGTCTCCATCAGGCTACGGAGGCACCTCCCTAGCTCCCACAGTCCCGGACCCCCACTTCAGGGTTGGGGGGCTGGCAGCCGCTAACAGACCTTTGGTTCAATCCCGTTTTTCCTAAAGCCACTTCCATTGGCTTGAGCTCAACACAATTTTGGTGACTGCTTATTTTTCAACCCATTTGTCTAAAGGGCATTTTTTACTTATTTTATAATTTGTGTACACATTAATCACATCTGCAGCTGTATGAAGGTTGAGGTTTTATTTCCTTTAGTGTCCTTCCTCATTTGTTCTACTTGTGAGCACTTTGAGGACCTTTAAGCCAATGTGTGTACAAAGCTTTCTATGAAATTTATTGTCACGAAAGTGGCATTTTATTTGAGAGCTGCCTCAGACCCTGCCCTGAAGGTGCCAATCCTTTTAATAAGACATAAATTACTGAGGCCCTTCCTCCTAACCCAAGGTTTGAAAACTTTCTCTCTAAAGGCCAGATAGTCCTTTTTTTTTTTTTTTTTTAATGCTTCATGGACCATCTGGTCCCTGATGCAAATACTCAGTTCTGCAGTTTTAGCAGGAAAGCAGCTTTAGACAATATGTAAATGAACAAGTGTGGCTGTGTTCCCATAAAACTTTATTTATAGACACTGAGATTTTAATTTCATATAATTTTCATGTATCATGAAATAGTATTCTTCTTTTGAGTTTTGTAAAAGAACGTTTAAAAATGCGAAAACTATTCTTAGCTGGAGGGCCATTCAAATCCCGGGGGACCCTCATTGGCCGACCCCTGCTCTAAACAACACGTTAACCCAAGGGTAGGAATCTATGATACCAGCCAGGATCTAACCATAAGTGATGCATTTTATAAGTAATTTGGGTCAGGCAGTTGCCCTCTTTTTTGGGGGGGGGGAGGGGAGTGAGAGAGAGAGAAGGAGCAGGGGAAGGGCAGAGAGAATATTAAGCAGGCTCCACGCTCAGCACGGGGCTCAATCTCACAACCTTGAGATCATGACCTGAGCCGAAATCAACAGTCGGATGCTTAACTGCCTGAGCCACCCAGGTGCTCAGGCAGGTGCCTCCCTTAAGAGAGATCCCTTTGGAGGCTCTGGGAAACAGAACCTCCATGCATCCAGAGCATAGAACATAGTCCAAACCCACAGCTGAAAGGGAGTAGAGCAAGGTGATGTGGAGCTCAAATCAGGGGGAAGAAAGGCTGCAACTGGTCGAGAGACAAGATAGAGACAAAGGCCTGCAGAGGCTTTTCATACCCTGCATTTTAGTTAAAATCGAATTTAGATGAAAATAGATGCACAGAAATTAAATGTGCATATGAAGCTTTCGTCCCTAAGTTGTGGACCCCGTGATGATAACTTCACCAAATTTACTCCTGTGGCTGGAAAATAAATATGTTTTTTGAAAGTTGATTTTGTGGTTTTACAAATTGTTTTAGCTCCGTAAATAGGGCAAATCCCATTTCTGATCTGCCTGAAACAAAAATAGAACATTAAAGTGTTTAAGAGTCAATCAAAGGCTTGCTGTGAGCAGCACAATATTAAAATAACAGAAAAATCAATTCAATTTTTATTTTGAGCATGATTTGTCACAAATAGCATTCTAATAGATAACACTGATTACATGGTAGCCAATGTAATTTATATATACCGAGCTCTATGCCTTTGTCAGAGTCATCATTAAGAAATTTGACACATATGCCGGAGAACAATAAATGTCAGCTGAAATATATACCAGTTAGATACAAATGGGATGCTGAACCGTGTGATGCTGACACACGCTATACTTATAAGTAATAATATGCAGTCTAAAGTAGCTTGCGTTTTCAAACAAGAACACTTTATGTTGTCATTTAAAATATCTCATATTTCTGAAGGTCAGGAATAAATGGCACTATTAGCATTAAAAGCTAGTAAAAGAAAAAGTAATTTGTTGTTCATTTAACATAACATTGTATGAAACAGCTTTGTAAAAGACTCATTTTTTTCCCCTATGGAAGCTGAGGAGACAAGAAGAAGATGCCTGGTTCTTAATGGAAGGCTTTGTATCGCATCTCTGCTACCATTAAATCTTAAATCAGTGAGATCTTTGTAGGAATTCCGTGGTTTGTGCCTGGGCAGGTACATGCTAAGAAATAAAGCTATCTTTACAACTGTGGTCCCTGCTGGCTCTGGCAGGGTGCTGCCCAGGTCCTGGGTTTTGTCCTCCTCGGTAGCGCCATTTGGCATAAGCATGACAGCATGACCCTGGGGACAAGTGGCGAGATTGTCAGAGCCTGAAGATGGAGGGCTTTGATGTGACAGATGCAGGCTCCCAAGATACAGAGGAGGGAGGCTCTTGCTGTGTGTCTTGGGAATAGTGGCGGATGAATCAGGATTTGAATACAAATACAGACGAGGGACCGCGTTGGGGTCACAGAATCCACTCAGTCACCATTCACCAGCAGCCCCGCCTACCAGCCACATGTTCTGAGCTCTAAAATATTGTAAATCTCCAATTCTGCGTTTTTTTTTCTTTTAAAATTGGGTCCAAAATGAAAACTACAAAAAAAAAAATAGCATTGACCGAAACACCTCTGTAACCACCGTGTGGAATTAGCAACGATGAACGTTTTGTCCTGTGCGCTTATGTCCTATTGTAACGAAAAATAAATGACATGACTGATAAGGAAGGATTCTAAATGCTCACGTTTTGATATTTTGTACCACATACACAGTGGGTTGTAGCGTTTTGTGAATAAAAATGTACATAAGGGTTCAGTAGGTCAAGCTCAGGTCTGACTTCGGCTCAGGTCATGATCTCACGGTTTGTGAGTTCAAGCCCTGCTTTGGGCTGTGTGCTGACAGCTCAGAGCCTGGAGCCTGCTTCAGATTCTGTGTCTCCCTGTCTTCCTGCCCCTTCCGTGCTTGGGCTGTTTTTCTCTCTCAAAAATAAATTTAAAAAAATTTAAGAAATGTATGTAAATAGTAATTTCTGTATCTAAATGGTATCTTACCAGCCCTTGCTTTTATCCTCAAGAGGCCATTTGGGGCATCTACGCACGCTGACAAATATGGACCCCTCATTATTTTTTATTTCTAAAGTTATATTTTGGACATTCTGATGGTTGCAAATGGCATGTTGTTAATTTCATTTATATTCCGCTCCTTACTGGCAAAGGTAACTCTCAAACATTTATTATTCAGACTTTCCTTTGTGTGTTGTCTGCTCGCGTCCCTTTTTCCGTTTTTCTTTTGGGCTGTGTTTTCCATTATGTACGCTGGATACTAATTCCCTGTTGTGTCCTCTTCAAATACTTTCTCTGAGGCTACACTTGTCTTTAATCTTGGTCATGGTGTCTCTGTGACTCTTGAGGAGCAACCCAGAACTGCCTTTTCTTCCTGCTTCATTTATTGGCTGTTTATCATGCATCAGGCACTAAGTGCTTTGTCTGTTTTATCTTTCTTTTTAACTTTTCAAAAAAATTGTTTATTTATTT